CTCGATCGCTGCGATCGATACTTGTAAATAGAAAAAAAAAACACTTCTTCGTCGCGTATCAGCGAGCTGCAAAAAGAACTCTCGATTATCCGGTGTGAGAGTGAGCGAAAGATTTCGTCACAGATTTATTATAATTTTATTTTTTCAAATTTATTATAAATTTGTTAATAATATTAAATTTTTTTTAAATTAAAAATTATTAATTTTTTATATTAGAAAGAAGGATAAGATGACATAATATCGAAAAGAGAGCAATCAAAACGAATAAAACAAATCTATGCGCGATCAAAGTTAGAGATAATTAAAACTGCATAATTATACAACAGAAGAAAGAGAGAAAAGGAGAGAGATATTTAAATTTTCGACAAATATATTTTAATCTAGAAGTTGAAGCAAGAGCTGATGAACGATATCAAAGTAACATTCTTAGAGATAGCAATAGATATATACGTAATTTTAGCCTCTATCTTATTTTAATTTTTAATTATATTAAAATTTCCCTTCGACATGTATATTTCTCATCCATTTAAGATCGCATAATCGAGAGTTCTCTGCACGCTGTTTCGTTACGAGAGAAGGGCTTTCCTTCCGAAAAAATAAACGAGAAAGAAATAAGAGAAAAAGAGAGAGAAAATCCAGTGCCAAATGTATATCTTCCCAGGCGCACGGCGATTGTTTGCTCAACAAGTGCGACCGTATTGTAACGATTTTTCGTTTTTATTAATTTTTGGTGATGTGCGCTTAGTCCCACTAATACTGCGTGTCCATGCCAATGATAGTGCTCGTGCGATAGTGAGCACACGATATTTTTGCCAAAAAATAGAAGATAATTATTTTAAGAATCTATTAATTATAAATAAATTAATAATATCAATTAATATATATATATATACAAAAAGTGCAATATATATTAAACGTGTATGTAATGTTTTTGACATTGCGATACGACACGCAACATATATAGAGAATTGAAAGAAATCTTATCGACACACATACGGGTATACCGATATTTAATTATATTTACTCAATTATCTCTCACGTCTCGTCTCACAAAATATAGACGATTATTTCTGCGAAGACACGCAGAAGGTGCGGACAAGCACGCTAATTGCATTCGGATAATTAAATTGACACGATTATTAGTGTCGCTAGCGGAACACTAGATAGATTCATAGATAGATAGATAGACGAATATATTTATGCGTGCGTTTTATCGCAAAAGCACATTTTCAAGAAAGATCTTTCGAAGAAAAAAAGTGACTATACATTAGAATGATATATTACTTCAGCAATTTAATTTTTATAATTATAAATATCCTTTTATATTTGCTTGCCTAAAAATTTAAAGTCAATACAATTTTACGAGTACGTTACTCTTAAAGATAAATTTTGTATTACTTGCATATATTTATATAAGTTGTTGCGAAAGAATACTTTAAACTTTCTTTGTGAATTTTTCAAATTATTTTTTTCTTCATTTTTAATCGCTTTCTAGAAAATGTATGGATTTTTATGATCAAGCGCACGTGACGTCTACGAATAAGTATGATATAATGCGCGCTGATCGGCCGAATACGTGCAATGGGCGCATTATACTCGTATATTAATCTCGCTGAAATATTCCAAGAAAGTCTGTCCATTTTTTCGAATGTCTCGAAAGTATTTTAATCTCTATTATCTTGTCTTGCGCACCAATTGGATGCAACGCCATAAGGATTGCGTTACATCGCGCAATATACATATATATACATATATATGTAGGATGTCCCTCGTGAATAAATAAAACAGGACAGCCTGTAACAATCTTACACATGTACACATTCACATACGCAAAAGATATACAAGGCTATAGTTTAAGTTTCGGTGCTAATGGGACGAGATTAAAAAAAAAACACCCACACATCTTCAAGATATATACACGTACATACACGATTCCTACATACAAATGCGCGCTTCCTTTATTAGACGCGTAGAAACGCGTCGATTAATTACGTCGAATCGAGATTTCTTATGATCTCACGCGTCGAATATTACAATCGCAATCGTGAATACAGATGTGAATGCAAATGTGAGAGAATGTACTTGCGCTGGTGCACATTGATGCATATCAAAATCCTTTGGCTCATTTCGCGCTTTTAACATTAATTAACAATAAGTGGCACCGAGTCTCTCTCTCTCTCTTGCGCAAAAGAAGGCTGTGTTTATAGTCTTAAAACGCATTCTAACCAGCTGTTCTAAACAGCTAAAAAAACAAAAAAAAATACAAAATTGTGCAACATGTGTACCGGTGTGAAGGATATTCTCTGGTAAACTTTGGTTCGTCGAAACAGAAAATGCCGCTTCCTGCTTACCTCCCTCTTAATTAATTTAAAGGGAAAATAATTTCGCGATTAAATTTAAATGATAAAAAAGAATTTAAATTTTAAGAATTAATATAATAGATTGATGAAAAAAATGATGGAAGAAAACGGACTTTCGCAAGAATTATATCATTATCATTACGTGATCACTATCGTCGTCTTCCCTCTGAAAGATTTTAGCTCCTTATCTTTACATCTCTATATATCAATTATTATAAAATTGAATTTATAAGCGTTATTTAAAAAATTTCTACCACAATATCTGTTAATGAATTACTAACATCGTAGGAAATAAAAATTATACAAATTTTGTGAAAAAAATTCCACGTATATACAATGAAAGAGTTACATAAAAAAACCTCTCTAAAGATTTAGGAAAAAAATATTGTTTATTCGGACAAAAAAATAGAGATACGAATTTCAAGTGATTATAAATTATAACATTTCCTATGCATTCTGAAGATGAGTATATTATTAAAAAATATAACGACTTATATGTATATATATAGTCACAATAAGATGTTTTGTACTATTAGATTTTTAGATTCTATATATACAAAATTGCAGAGAAGACTTGCGTTCGATTTTGTCTTAAATTCGTCACTCGACATTGTGCCAATAGCAAAGTTTGTGATCAATTTTAAAGTTTATCATTATGAAGAATTACTAATAGCATTTCTAAACATTAATAGAATTGTTTAGCTTAAAGACAGTGCTTCCTCACAAAATAACCACCCCAATAATAATGCTCTTATCGATGACTTCTGACATCGATAACATTTTGGACCTTCCATAATTAGGATATCAATCGTCTTCCATAATATGCATAATTGCTATATATAAGTACAGCATATTCTCTTTGATCCATATTAAGAAACTAATAATCTTCCTTCTTTCTTTATCTCTTTTCAAAGATTATAATAAATTTCTCTTTCGCATAAGAAAAAAAATAAGAGAAATTGACATGAAATCTTGGAACACAGTTTTAGTTTTAAACAGATTAGGAATTTAGTGTTACAAGCTTCTTTTCTTTCTCGGTGCTAAAATAAATTGAATGATTCTTTTATGAAATTTAATAATTCATTAACCAACGAAGAAAATTAATTAAGACCGGGAGGCATTAGAAGGGCGGCACACTTCAAATCTTCCATAATGACTCTTAAATGTTAAATTATACTAATCATAAGATGTAAGAAGGCTGAGCTCCTGAAAACTGAGCGCGACTTGCGAGTGTGAGCTGGGAATACATTCGTGCGAGGAGATAAAATTATTTATTTGTTTACAATAAACGAGATGCAAATTCGCGGTTCGGGCAATTTCAATAACTATAATATTGGCCATTATACGAATCGCTCATTTCCAACATCCGCTATTAAAATTAAATATTTAACTTCAAGATCAAAAAAATTAAACGCTCATTTTCAATCTGAAAAAATAAGATAGTATTTTTTACACTTGTGAGGCACAATAATTCTTTAATATAATTTTTTGTTGTATTCAGTTATATCAATTACTAATAATAATCGCTAAATAAAGCGTATATTGTACTTTAAAATAGCTAAGAAATTATTTTTATGCTGCATGTCAATAAACATTATTTATTCATTATATTTGATAAAGTCTAAACTCATGTTCTTAAATTAAACTCATGTTTTTAATAAATTAAAATATTGATTAAATTTTTCTGTTTTTAACTTTTCCTTCAATTCTCAATTGTTAAAATAATTATTAAAAATTTGTCACATATAGAATGAAATTGTCATTGTCGGTGCAAAAAAATTTCGAGTTGAAAAGTGAATGTTGGACAGAAATACATAATCATCAGAATAATGTGAAAAAGTAAAATAAGTTAAATTTATATAGAAATTAAAGATCTGATTAAGGAGCGAAAAGGCTATAAAATGTGGAGATTCGATTATGAATGGTATAGTTGAATTTTTGAGAACAGCGGTTTTTGGAAATGCGTAGCTCGCATAAGAGAGGCAATTATCGTTGTAAATATAATAACGCGGCAAGTGCAAACGCCCGGGAATACGAACCGTCTAAAAAGTGCATAAAATGTACGTATACGTACTGTAAGCGTAAAAAGGGGAGAACAATTCTTGTAGTACTTACGATCGTGCGCCGAGAGCGAAATCGTCAGCGAGGATTACGCGGAAAACGTATTATGTGCATTATGTGTCGGGAAGGAAATAAAATCAAAATCGATCGATCGAGAATTCCCATCTTTTTCTTCGCCATCTCTCTGTCTTGTCCATTTCAATCCGTAGGGTATCCTGCCGAAAAGATACATTAATATATATAGCTATGCAGCTTCACTACCAAAGTATTATCTTCAAGTTGAATCCTTTGAAGAAAAAACGATCCAACAATGCGTTACTTTATTGATTTGTATCGTCATTCTTACCATTTTCCGCATCATTTTTGCTCCAACTCTCCTTACCTTTCAATCTTCCGCCGAGACTTCTTCCTCTTCCAAAGTCATAGAGTACTAGAAATCTAGAAAGGAAAATGCCTCGTCTCGAGAGAAATGTCACATTTGACAGCCAATCGCATGACAGCTGCCGCATCGCACGTGTCGGCCAATGAGAGCGTCGACAGTGAAAATCCCTAGAGAAGTAATGCTGCGATTGGACGCGTCGCACACCTTCTCTAACCTCCACCGTAACTGTTTACACCGTTCCACCGCGTCCATATAATTCATCATTCATCATCCTTCACCTTCGCTATCACCACCCTTATTATCACCTCACGTCACGTATCACTTGATTCGGCCTCGTTGCGTTTCCCTCAAATCCCGGAATGTTTCGCGCGGACATCGACGAACAGGAACGCTGGTCGTGAGCGCTGCTGCGAAGAGGAGGCCGAAGATGCTCTGGACGGCGATGATCGGGATGGTTCTGTCGAGCGTGGTGGCTGTCACCGCCGCGCTGCATTCCTCCAGCGCTCTGAACGGCGGCGGGGATTCGATTCCTCACCACGGTCGTTGCGAGCCCATCACCATCAACCTCTGCAAGAACATCCCGTACAACGAGACGATCATGCCGAACCTAATGAATCACCAGAAGCAGGAGGACGCCGGCCAGGAGGTGCACCAGTACATGCCGCTCGTCAAGATGAAGTGCAGTCCGGATCTTCGTTTCTTTCTGTGCACCGTCTACGCGCCCGTGTGCACCATCATCGACAAGGCGTTACCCCCGTGTCGCTCGCTCTGCGAGAGCGCGCGCTCCGGTTGCGAGGGACTGATGAACACCTTCGGGTTCTCGTGGCCTGAGGCCTTGGATTGCTCCAAGATGCCGGAATACGACGGCGTCGTGCTCTGCGTCGGTAGTAACGAGACTACGACGTCCCAGGAACCGGATTCCCCGAATTATCCTCCGGCTCGGATGCCGGTGGCCGAATTTCAGCCGTCCTGGAATGAGGGCGGTTCCAAGTCTTTCAGCGGCAGCGGTACCAACGGATTCGCCATAGGTGCCAGAGACTTTGGCTTTGTCTGTCCCGTTCATTTTAAGGTTCCTCATGGATTAGGATACTCCCTCAAGGTTGGAAACAAGGTAGAGGCTGATTGCGGAGCACCTTGCGACGGCATGTTCTTCACCGAGAGGGAGAAAAGATTTTCCAGGGTGTGGGTCGGCACTTGGGCTTCTATTTGCGCCGCCTCGTGCTTTTTCACGTTCCTCACGTTTCTCATTGATACAGATAGATTTAGGTAAAGTTTATTCTTCTTCAGAAATTAAGCTGCGTAGTGTTTTTGTGCAAGAAATTTGTAAAAGATAGTTAAGTGTTAGAAGGAGATGCGCCGTGCTACGTTTTATGTAATTTTAATATTCGCTAAATTTATAATAAAATTTTATATTAATATAAATATAGACGTTTAATTGTTTCGATTTTTTGTGCAGATATCCCGAGAGGCCCATTATTTTTTTGTCTGTGTGTTACCTGATGGTAGCATTGGTTTACGTAATTGGTTGGGCAGCAGGCAACTCCATATCCTGCAGAGAGCCATTCCCATCACCTTTGGGGTTTCGAATACAGATGCCATCGACAATCACGCAGGGTACCAAGCATGAACTGTGCACTGTCCTCTTCATGGTCCTTTATTTCTTTGGCATGGCATCAAGTATCTGGTGGGTTATTCTCACTCTCACATGGTTCCTGGCTGCTGGATTAAAGTGGGGACACGAAGCGATCGAGACCAATTCGCAATATTTTCATCTGGCTGCCTGGGCCGCCCCAGCTGTGAAGACTGTTACTATTCTGGCGATGGGGAAAGTAGAGGGTGAGGAGAGATAATTAAAAACAAATATTATATTTTATATACAGAAATGTAGATATGAAATGCGCTTTACGTTTTCTTCTTTTAATGACAAGCATATATTAAAAGTAAAGCTCATTGTCAGAGTATTAGTGTTAATAATTAAGTTAGTTATAACAGTACAGTTAAACATATTTTTATATTATTTTTATGAATTGTATAAAATGACATACATATTTTTATATTGTTATCTATTTTATTTGCAGGCGATATATTATCTGGAGTTTGCTACGTCGGTCTTTGGAACGTGGAGGCTCTTCGGGGTTTTGTACTAGCACCACTATGCGTCTATCTTATACTAGGTACTGTGTTTCTTCTAGCGGGTTTCGTCTCGCTCTTTCGCATCCGCACAGTGATGAAGCACGATGGCACAAAAACAGATAAGCTTGAAAAACTGATGATTCGCATCGGTATCTTCTCCGTGCTCTACATCGTACCTGCCCTAATCGTAATTGCTTGTCTTTTTTACGAGCAAGCGTATTACGATCAATGGATGCTTACATGGCACAAGGAGATGTGTTCACGTCCACATCTGCAATCTGCCTATTCGGTGCCATGCCCGGTCGGCACGCCCGATGTTAGTCGCAAACCAGAATTCGAGGTCTTCATGATTAAGTATCTCATGGCAATGATCGTCGGTATAACCAGTAGTTTCTGGGTATGGTCCAAGAAAACGCTCACTAGCTGGCAACAATTCTTCCATCACTTACGAGGTCACCGCACCGAGGCCTACGTTTAAAATCGGAGGGCTACGTTTGCTCTGCAACATTTTGATAAGAGGATGCATTAATCATTTTCAACATAGATTTTTATGACTGACTGATTTGTTCAATTAAAAGGATAAAAAAGTTCTCAGTAGAAAATGACATCGCGAATTTTATGATGACGATAATGATGGTACTCGTGTAGGTTCATTAAAGTCGATGGTCGCAGAAGTGATGCCGGTATTTTGTTAGGTGTTATGTTCTTTCGCATAATGTAAAAAAAAATCATTTTTTATTATAGAATCAGTTATCCATCATTAGCTTTTATGAAAAATTTTTATTTATTATTTAAAGAAAGTTAAAATTTCACACTCGATCTCTTATGTATTTTATTTATGTACGCATGATTTATATTATAATTATATTAGTCTTTCTAGCTTTTGAAAATTTATAGTTTTTAATAACAAAATCAGATCTGAATCAGGCTAACATTAGTAATATTTTACACGTACTTTGTGCTTTTGTCATAAATAATTAAAGACGTGCATTAATATACGTCGCGGTGCCAAATAAGTTTTTTTGTCTATTTTTCTTTTTTTTTTTTACGTTTCTCTACGTGTGATTTACGGCTTTGTGAAATATTCGAACCAAATGTCAGTCAGATTAAAAGATTGCTAGGCATTTGTTTTTTCTTTTTTTTTATCTTCTAAGTAGAATAATCTGGCTCCTTTTCTATAAATGATTCTATGCTTAAATTAAATGTGCTCAAATACTGTAGCAAACAAATCAAATGTTCAAAGTTTTTAAAGCAGCTAATCGGATTTCAGGATCCGATATAATATAAGAATTAAGATTTTAATAGCAAATTCGATTAAATGCAATTAATGCGCACTGATTTATACATACACAAAATTTTCTTTTAGAATTTACTTTGAAAATTATGGTAATCATGGATAATATGGTATTGGAAGAATTTTATAACAATTTCTCTGATTAATAGATAGATATCTATCTATCTATCTCTGATTAATATTTACCACAATAATAATAATATCTGCCACAATAAAATAAAAATATGTTCGATGAATTTTGCTATGTATGTACCTAGTAAAATTTACCATGTACATACTAAAATCTACTAGGTACATATTTATATTTTTTATTATGATAAATATTAATCAGAGAAATTCTTATAAAATTCTTCCAATACAATATTGCCTATCATTACCATGATTTTCAGGGTAATTCTAAGAGAAAATTCTCTCCGTGTATTACGTCATACATAAATTGATAGTATACATATTAAACAATCAGACTGAATTCTTTAAATATTCAGCATATATCACATTGTGTATTATAGAATATATATTGAATATTTCATCAATTAAGGTACTTTATATACTTGGATTATTTTTTAAATATATCTACATATATTATTAAATATGGTAAGTTTTAGTTTACATTACTGCGCATATTTGCATCTAATCGAATTCTTCAGTATAGGGATTAAGATTCAATTTTTAATAATCGTGAATCGTACTTCACACTGCCGAATTTTCTCGAGTTTTGATTTTATCTGATAGAGAACAAATCTATTACGCTTAATTTGTACAAGGCGCATTTAGGGAGATAAACAAATGCAATAATACTCAAGTAAAGATTGACGGCGTGGCATTTATCGGCCGTGCGTACATTTTTTTTTTTTTTCTACACTCGTTAAGGACGAATTTTTGATCCTTTTTCCACGCGACGAATTTATTATCATCTGAACTATATAAAGTCGAATATTAAAGTCGCGTCTCGAATTTCAACGAGATTAGCTTGTAAGATTGGCTCGTAAATGTGCTACTTTAGGTTTACACCAACGTTGTATATAAATTTATATGCGTTTTTTAATTCTATACTCCATGTATGTATTATAATATATTTTTAAAAACCTGTACATATATATACATCAACACGCTATGCATGATTAAACTTGCGCGAACAAATTCGTCCAAACTGAAATTGCCGAGCTTTTGTCTATTAAAATTTCATGCTATAAAATGCGATAAGCGTGATTATATATTGTGCACGCGAGAGACGCATAAATATATCGAATACGCGAGATATAAATTTTATGATCGCTATATTCTTTATATAATAAACGAGAGATGCATATATATATATATATATATATATGTATGTGTGTGTGTATGTGTATGTATAAATTTTAATTTGCCTTAACAGTTTATTTACAGAAAATTTTTTACAAGATTGTGGTAATATACAAATATAAGTATAAATGTCTGCCTACACCTCATTAATTATATTAAAAATTGAAATTTTACAAATTATACAGAGTAAGATAATGTAGAATCTTGCTTACCTCGATCTAATCTAGAGAGAAAATCTTTATATTATTAATTTTATCTATTCTCTCAATTTATATTTATACAAAATATACGAATTGATATTATACATATATGAGATAAATATAATTATAGAAAAATTATGTTTACCTCAGTCAATATTAATAAGTATAATTCAATATCATTATAAACTTCTTTTCGCGCGCGCGCGTAACAATTTTGATAAAAAAATATTTTGTTTAAATTTTATCATTACACAGATAATCTCTCATCGACATAAAATATGATACTCTAATATATGTAAAAGATATTTTATAAAAGAAATAATTATTATGGATCTTTGGATGAGGACTGTTTTACTTTCGGCATTTTGAGTAAACCAATTTTCCTCAGACGTTTTACAATTATTGGAGTCACAGTCAAGGATATCGATATTCGAACGGGTGCAAATAGTTTATGAATGGTATAAGCTATTACGAAGTCTGTCGAGGTTTTCAGTATGTTACTGATCTGTTCGTTCCCACTTGTCCACTTCTGTACAAAAGGCATCACATCGATTCCACTGAAATTAGAAATTTATATTATAGAAAAAAACGACATAAAACTTTTTTCAGATAGACTTTGAAAATCAAAATATCAATTTAAATAAATAGTATTAATAATGACATAAAAACGAGTAAATTATTTTGAAATTTGTCATGCTATAAAATATGAGAAGAAAAATTCATATGTGTTAAATAAATGAGTTATGAGAAATATAGTTATATACAGTTGCGCTCCAGAAATTGTGCACATTTTGGGAAAATATTAAAATTCTTTGTTAAAATACGTATTTCCATATATATAAATTTCTTTATATAAATCATCGATACATTTTTTAGCAAAAATATGTACAATTTCCAGAGAAAATTCATGACTGACCTAATGACCACCATGTAACAACAACCAAGACTTATCAGGGAAATAGTAACGTGAAAGGCAATGAGAGTGCCACCATAATCCCTCAACATCAGGCGAAATCTTTCCCGTTTTGGCATGAGCGCGATCGCCATCGGTGTCGCTTGATCCTTTTGAGCGCCCTTCGGCGTCTTCGAGTCATAAGTCGAGTAGCTCATTCTGACGATATAACTCGGCCAGCATGTCGCTCGTAAAAGCGGACTCGTTATGAAGGTATTAGTTGCGGAACCTGAGCGATATAATTGCCTGATGTGAATTTTTAACTTATGGATGCTTATAGAAGCTTGCGTAATTCTTATATCTTCTAGCAAAGATGTGAAAGTCTCGAGTGTTTTAGAGTTTTCAACAGAGTTTATGTAATCATCCAACAATGTGATTAATATAAGAAACAAAAAAAACCAAAAATCTTTCTATGAATTTTTAGACTAAAAGTATTATCAATTTGTGGTGCTAATTTTGAATCTTTGAATCCTAGTAAAATAAATTCTTTGAACTATCGACAATGATTAATTTTAACAATTTTCACAAAATTTGATTTCAATCTTTTATATTGACATTAATAATGAAATAATTTATATACATATCTTTATAACTAATTTGTGTTATTCTTTTTATACATTAAGATTTCCAAGTTCAAAGTATCAGAATATTGTTATCTAGGATTCAAAGTGTGGATAGGGTCAAAAGATGCAAGTCACAAGGAAGCGAAGAAGGGGAAAGCACCTCTACCCTCCAGAATCCACTCAAAGGTCGCTCTTACACGACAGCCTGCGGTAGTGGGAGCGTTGCATGTCTTCAGCAATATACTTGTTGTCACGGGACCACTGTCCACCAGGCATGTTGAGATGCATGGACCTGCCATCCGATGAGAAGGGCTTAGGAACGTTGCTCTGCATTGTGCCGTTTAGACTGATGGCGCCGAAGCAGTCATACGAGTCCACGTGACCATTATCACGGATCTTGGGGAAACCAGAGCTATTTGCCATGGAGATGATCCCGTCGCCGTTCTTCTCAGCATACAGGGCAATATCGCGCACACGTTCCGGGGTGAAGCGACCGGTTTCGTTGGCGAAGATGTCGCAAACATTGTTTGGCAAATCGAGCATTGGTGGATCTGGATAACGACGTACGCTCGTTAGGTGCAGCGCCTGTTGCTTCCGATGAATTGCTGCTGGAGTCGCATACTGTATTTCCAGAGATGCTACAATTTGAAAAGAATATTGTTATTATATATTATTATGTTATTATATTAGAAAGAAATTTATACATAGAAATTATTAGGTCTTACACAAGAGAGATAAAGATAAGAAAATAAAAGATCATAATTAAATATAAAAAAATTAATTTTTGTTATTATATAGAATAAGTCTTATAAAAATTGTATAAATGTATAAATTATAATAGTTCATTATATTAATATGAAGACTATTGTACATGTAAAATAAATGCAATGTCTACTTTCTGTATTTTATAATTAAAATATAATAAGGTAAAAATAAAGTGTATAAAAGATGATAAAATCATACATTTAATAATTATTCTATAATAACACATCATTTTATAGTAAGATATTTTATGAAGTGTAAGGATGATAACACATTAAAATTGTGTAATAAGATAAAGATTATAACATTATGCACATACATGCTAAGACGCTATTAAAAAAATGTTCTAAGAAATAAGAGTTTGCTAAAAATAGATAGATTCATCAGTTATAGAAGATTAAGAGATTGATAAGCTACTAGATAATTAAAGTTACTGATGTCATAGGTATAAAAAACGTCTTTTAATATCAGAAGATAAATATGTCAGGATAATACTCGTACACTTTGGACTTTGGGGAAAAAGACCCAATCTAGAAAAAAAATAACAAATTTAAATTATTGTTTAACGCTATAAATACTATAAATATTTCAAAATAATTTCTAAAAATATAAATAAGTCTTGAAAATCGCTCTTTTTAATACAAACATTAAATAATGCAAACTAGCAATACAAATTAAAAGTGCCAGTAAGGTAACTTCTTTTAATCATTTCTCTATCCATCTTTTGATATCCATATCTTCAACTGTATAAAAGATTATGCTATTTTTTATATAATGTTATAATATTATATATTGTCCTTGTAGATAAAATAATGTGTAAAATTACTTTAAACATACCTGCACGTGAAATGCGAATTAAGGAGTTGCACATGTCCAACGTGCCGATTCTCGATAACGCCATCGTCAAATATTCGGAGTTTTGTGAAAAAAAGACGACACACCGAATGTCGTTGAAGATTAACAGAATAATTTAGAAACGAAGGAAACAACCTTGGCCGTTCGGCACGGCAGTCATAACAAGACAACAACTACCTTTCTCTTTATAAAGCCCGCTACACAAGGTGTGTTACAATAGATTTGTAAAATAATTTTCATTGACCAATCAAAATAAAAGAAACAAAGTTTCTTTATCTTGATTGGTTGATGAAATATTTGGAAATAATTATATTTGCAAAATATATAATTATGTCTTTTATATTTATTTGATTAATCAAATATAATAATATATTAATTTATTAATAAATAATACAATTATAATTTAATTAAATTTTATTTAATTAAATCTGAATATTTCTGATTGGCTGTTGTTTGATTCGACTGCATATGCTTGGGATATTTACACTTTACACGATGTAAACTAGGCTTTAGATCCACCGGCGTGGAAAGTTGAAACCGTGCTTCTTGCTGAAAAATTTTCAGAATTTGCGAAATAACGTGATAATTCAATAAAGAGAGAAGAAAATGGAACTTGTGCATTCTGAAGACACACATGACGAAGAAAATTTATATGCCTTTGTAAGTATAATTATAATTTATCAAAATATATTTTATAACCTTAAAAATGTATATACAGTCACAAATATGAGTGAATATATGTATGTATGTAATATTAAAAAATATTACACAATATTATACAATATTAACCTTTTTTTTAATTTTGTTAATTTATACGAGCCTTTTAATAATTAATTTTAAAAATGTTGTTAAATAGAATGAGGAGGATTTACCATACGAAGAAGAAATTTTACGAAATCCATATTCAGTTAAACATTGGCAACGCTATATCGATCATCTAAAAAATTCAAAGAGTAAAAATTTAAATGTGGTGTATGAACGAGCATTGAAAGAACTCCCAGGCAGGTAAAGCAATTTATTTATGTTTTTATTATGTGTAATTGCATCTACAATTTACTTGACTTTATCTATATTATTATAAATATTATATTTATTATTTATTATAGTTATAAATTATGGTATAATTATCTTCGACAACGTGTGAGCCAGTTAAAAGATAGATGCATAACAGATCCATTATATGAAGATGTTAATAACGCATTTGAACGTGCTTTGGTATTTATGCATAAAATGCCACGCATTTGGATGGACTATTGTACATTGATGACTGAACAATGTTATATAACACGAACACGTCAAGTATTTGATCGTTCTCTTAGAGCGCTTCCTATTACACAACATCATCGTATATGGCCATTGTATATAAATTTCTTAAAGAAACATAATGTTTATGAGACTGCTGTCAGGGTTTTTAGAAGATATCTAAAGGTATCACCATTATTTAATAATACTACATTGTAATAATTTATATATTACTATTACTATTATATATACTATGTTTTATATATTATTTAAATTTTTAATTAGTATAAAAATTTAATTTGGAAGAACTTTTTTTGCAATAGTTTTATACATTTATTTTATGTATGTACAGTTGGCACCAGAAGATACAGAAGAATATATAGAATATCTGATATCGGTTGGTAGACTCGATGAAGGTGCTTTAAAACTTGCACAGATTGTCAATCAAGATGACTTTGTATCAAAACATGGAAAATCGAATCATCAATTATGGAATGAATTATGTGATTTAATATCAAAAAATCCTGCTAAGATAAAGTCCCTGAATGTAGATGCTATTATTAGAGGTGGTTTAAGACGTTATACAGATCAATTGGGACCTTTATGGAATTCACTGGCAGATTACTATGTTCGAAGTGGTCTTTTTGAAAGGGTATGTTATTAGCTTTAAATTTATATGTAATTAACACATTTTATTTTAGTACTTAATTTATTAAAATATATGTATATTATTATTCAGGCAAGAGATATTTATGAAGAAGCTATACAAACTGTTACTACAGTCAGAGATTTTACTCAAGTTTTTGATGCTTATGCACAATTTGAGGAACTTAGTCTTAAAAAACTTATAGAAGAAGCAGCAAAGAATCCCACTGAAGAAGGTAATTAAAGAATATTAATTTACTAATAATTATTTATGTATAACTTTAATAATTTACTATACTTACAGTATATAATAATACAATATATATATTATAAACATATTTATGATAAATTTAATTATTAATTATATTTTTTTATTTTAGATGATATAAAATTAGAATTGAGGTTGGCAAGATTGGAACATCTTATGGAAAGAAGATTATTATTACTTAATTCTGTATTATTACGACAAAATCCACATAATGTAGCAGAGTGGCATAAAAGAGTTAAACTTTATGAAGGGCAACCACATGAGGTAAAAAAAAATAAAATAAAATTTATATTATATGTGAATAAATATTTCATATTATAATAATTAGTATATATTTTTTGTGTAGATAATTAATACATATACAGAAGCAGTGCAGACAGTGCAACCACAATTAGCAGTTGGTAAATTACATACATTATGGGTTGCATTTGGTAAATTTTATGAGGAAAATGGACAAATAGAGGATGCTAGAGTGGTATTTGAAAAGGCTACTCATGTTTCATATACTAAAGTAGATGATCTTGCTTCAGTATGGTGTGAATGGGCAGAAATAGAAATTAAACATGGGTAAGTTTGTGATTTACCTTCTATTATATTTATTTTATAATCAATATACATTTATGTAACATTTCTTATTAAAACAAAGAATAATTCAAATAAATGTTCTTTATGTATATACAGAAATTGTAAAGAAGCTCTAAAACTCATGCATCGTGCTACTACAATGCCAGCCAGAAAAGTGGCATATCATGATGAAACAGAAACAGTGCAAATGAGATTATACAAATCTTTAAAAGTATGGTCTATGTATGCAGATTTAGAAGAAAGTTTTGGAACATTTAAGGTATATCATTATTACGTATGACTTGCAATATCCTTTAATTTTTAATTATGTTACATATATATTTCTAATTTTACATATGTTTATTATAGACTTGTAAAGCGGTATATGATAAAATAATCGACTTGAAAATTGCGACTCCTCAAATTATCATTAATTATGGACTATTTCTAGAAGAAAATAATTACTTCGAAGAAGCATTTAGAGTATGTCAAATATTTTTTACATATACATTATTAATTACATATACATACTAAATTAAATCTAATAACATTTTACAAAATTAATTTTATTTTTAGGCATATGAAAAAGGTATTGCATTGTTTAAATGGCCTAATGTCTATGACATTTGGAACACATATCTTACAAAATTTTTGATTCGTTATGGAGGTACAAAATTAGAACGTACTAGAGATTTGTTTGAGCAATGTTTAGAACATTGTCCACCAAAATACGCTAAAGGTATATAATTTTTCTTATAGATTATCTTATATCAATATTATGCAAAAAAACTAATTTTTGTTTATTACAGCTTTGTATTTATTGTATGCAAAATTAGAAGAGGAACATGGTTTAGCAAGACATGCTATGTCTGTATATGAACGAGCGACAAATGCTGTTCTTCCAGAAGAGAAATTTGATGTAATATTTTTATATATATGCTAATGATTTATTCATAATCTTAAAATTTTATATAAATGAATTTGTGCTGCTATATACTTATGTATTTTGTAATTTTTTTATTAATCTCTTTTGTGTACATATTGATTTCTGAATTTTAAAATTAATTTCTCCATTTATAGATGTTTAACATATACATAAAGAAAGCTGCGGACATATATGGAGTACCGAAAACTCGACAGATATATGAAAAGGCCATAGAAGTCTTAAATGATGAAAATACTAGAGAAATGTGTTTACGATTCTCAGAAATGGAAACCAAACTGGGAGAAGTAGATAGAGCAAGAGCGATATATGCACATTGTAGTCAAATATGTGATCCAAGGGTATGATATGATTCATATTTTTAATATATCTTAATGAAAAAAACATTCATCACACATACAGTTACACATTTTTATTTTAATAACAAGCAATTATCTTTGAAATAAATAGTTATCCCAAAGCTTTAATTGAAATTTTTGCTATTTGGAAGACAATAGTCTTAATAAAATAAATTTTTGAAACATTATTTTAAATAACTAGTGATTTGGGAGATAATTATATATCTTTACATGAGATTAAACTGATACACTATTTATATTTACACATTTGTATGTAACTCTTCTTATATATTGAATTAAATTACTATAGGTCACATCAAACTTCTGGCAAATTTGGAAAGAATTTGAAGTTAGACATGGAAATGAGGATACAATGCGTGAAATGCTTCGAATTAAGCGTAGTGTTCAAGCTATGTATAATACTCAACTAAACATGATGTCTGCACAAATGTTAAATAACGCATCTAATCAAATATTAGATGTGCCAATGGATGCTATGCGTTTATTAGATAGTAAAATTAAGAGTACAGGTAATTAGAGACTAACTATATTTTTAAAATTTTTTGAACAAGATATTTAAAAAATTTTTCATTGCAGATAATGCTGTTGATATCAAAAAAGGTATTAACTTTGTACGTGGTGTAACAGAAAAAGATGGTAAAGCAGAAGCTCATGTGAATAATCCTGATGAGATTGATATCGACATAGATGACGAAAATGAAAACGATGAAGAAATAGAAGAAGGTAAATTGACGCATTCAAAAATAGTTTCGAAATTGAAATATACATAAACACTTTTTTTCTTTGTCTTTCTAACTATATCAGATTACCTTTGTATACAAAACTGAATTTCCATCATATTAAATTTTTATGACATTTTTTAAATATATCAGGAAAGTTTATTATTTGTTGCAAACAATTCTTTAATATTTATTTTTAAATACTATTAAAATTATTTTTTAATTATAGTTCAAAGTTCAAATTTAAATTTAAATAACAGATGAAGAATAAGATTGTGTATCTTTTAAAGTTCAATTATTCAATGAGATTTTAAAAAAGTACTATATCAATATTTTGTTAAAGAAAAAATCAATTAGATTAATAAGTATGTCATCAAAATTTAATGTGGCAAAAATAAAAATACAATTATTTTTTAATAATACTTTCTTTTTAGATGTACCAATTGAAAAACGAACTGTACCGTCACAAGTATTTGGTAGTTTAAGAACAGTTGAAGATGAAGATTAAAATTTTAATAAGCAGTCTAATTGGGTAAAACTTATATAACAATTATAAAATTTTATTATATATAAGATGTAATTTTTTAAATGATTAAACACCATTTTTAGTTTTCTAACATATTTTTAGAATTATATTAATATATAATTAATATATTTATCATTTTTAAAGTATTATATAAGTATAAAAGATTTTTGTGTAAAATGCCATTTGTGAGATTGACTTACAGAATTCAAAAGTAACAAAATACGAACATATATATAGTAAACTTTGTATAGTAAACTCTACTATAAATATACAGATAAATATATAGATAAATTATATATTTTATAAAAATATATGATTTATATATAATATTGTTTCTTATTGCAATATTTGAAATAATATGATTGTTCATGGGGGGAGATCTCTTTTTTCTCTATCAAGTATAAGATATATAAGATACAAGATACATTTCATGTGAATATGGAAGTGTAAACATCAATCATGTAACAAGTGGTGATTTAAACGTGCAAAAATGACAGTACATGTATCTGCACCAAATTATTCGCGAATTATCGCGACATTAATTCTATGGATGCGATGTGCGCAAATTTGTGGGGGAATCGAGGCTGAAATCGAGCTCAATGTGGAAGGAAGCGGATTTCATAGGTTAGGAAGGTTAGAGTACAAATAGATGATGATCTTGTAGAATTCTAATATTTTTTTATCTTTTACAGAACATTGATTTATCACGTGTATTTCAAGGACCTTATCATTGACAACTGTCAAGCTGCCATTTACATGGAATTACCATCAGCATTATATGTCAATGTCGATGAAATAGCAGAATTGAGAAGAAAGGATGCGGTACGTGTCTTAATTATATTAAATAATTGATTGATAATTTAAAGATAAAATTGTAATTTTGTGTGAATCTTAAAATACTAATTTTATTCACATAAATGTAAAATTGCTGCACATTGTTTAAAGTCTTCTAAGTGATAAACTAATATAACTTAAAGAATATCACAACATTATTTCTGATTATTGTGTATTTGTGTAAGCTATATATTTATTACATTAAATCAACTAGTTTTTTTACAATTTACATTGACAATTATATTACCTACTTATTAATTTTTATATTAAAAAGTCTAAAGATGCCTTTGCTATCTAAAAGTCCAATTAATTAATAGTATTCATTAATATTTCAGAGTACAATCTGTTCCGTAGGTGAAACTGACATCGAGCTATTTGCTGAGAAGGCTGGTCGGCAAAACGTGACAGCTTGTGCATCCGTACGTTCATCATCGACTAATTTAATGATCCCGCTTCATCAGCGTTATCGGTACGCCCATGAGACCGGTGGCTACGTCGACGCAACAGTGCCTGATCCGAAGCTGCTTCTGGGATGTCGAGAGAGGCTCAGAGACCATAGAGTGTCTAAGACAGATCTGTGTGAACCATGTGTCAGTCTGGCAGTCAAATGGCGAGAAATTCCTTATCGTATGTTGAACTATCATACATATGTGTGGCCGATCCCAGTCGGAGACTCATCCCTTTCGACGTTTGTCACTTACACCACGTTATTAGCAACAGTTATCGGCGCGATATTCATCTTACGAGCCATTCGGACCAATACGTTGAATCATGCGAAAGAAGACTGAGGTAGCTTAAGATTTAATATACAAATAATTTTACAGCTAAAGAAATTTTTTATTAATGGTTATTTCAAATAGATTAGGTGTTCATGGCTTCTATATGAAAACTCAAGAAGATATTATATAATCTTACAACTTTTTCAATTGTGATGTTAAATAGTTTTAAGATTAAATTTATTAGAAATTATAAATTATCATTATCATAAATTAAATTTGAATTTATTTAAATTAAACTAAACTAAATTTTCTAAATTTCATTTAAATTAATTGCAGCATTTTTGTTGCAAAGTCTATTTGAATTTAATCATTAATAATTTATTTTTTAATTAAAGAACATTCTATCTATACATTTGACTTGATCAACATTCTTTTTCTATCTACATTTTATATATTTGTATCTTGAAATCAATGCAGATATGTAGCCTCCAGTCAAGTCAATCTTTAATAGTAATGAACAATCATGTGCATACGTATCTTCAAGATGATATGGTATATAGTCATTTATATAAAGTCATTTAGAAGTTAGCACGCAAAACCACATATCCACACATTTAAAATGAACACAGTTTAAAAAATAAAAACGAAAACAGATGTCATATGCTGCGCAATTTTATACTTTTTCTATTTTGATTGTCATGGAATCTTTTCGACGTCTCTCTGTTCGTGTATCGTCGCGACAGTTGCTGGTGCCATCGATATTTTACGCACAACGCTATTCCGTTTGCTTTTAATCTCGTCATTCCACTTTTGCACCTTGCTAGTGCCAAATATGATGAAGATTAGATTGCCCAGTAAGTATATTCCAGCCGACAGGAAAAACACGCTTCGCCATTGCAAAATGTTAGTCTAAACAGGAGAAAGATGTGATTAAATTCATTAAATTTTAATGAAACAGGAGAATCTATTAAAGAGCAATGAACAATGAAATCAAAATAATAATAAGACTATTTTGTATAAAGATTATATATTACATTATAAAAGAAGCTATTTGAATATTGAAATTTATGTTTATTCTATATTTTTATAAGCTAACAAGCTATATTTTAAGCTATAATAAATTCTAAGAGAAAGGATTTATTAAGCTCTAAACTTATAAGAGGATAGAAATATGGATAAAATATTTTACGAACCGAATCCTTGACGATGACACCAGCGATTAACGGTGCGAGAATGCCACAAGCGGACGCGATGGCATTCGTGAATCCCATAAGTGTGCCGGCAAAGTTTGGACTGAGGTCCATATGATTGACGTTGTGGCCGCAGAAAGAGGCGATGTTACTGGATACGGCGATGACGAGGATACTCACAGCTAATTTCGGCTGGTCCTGTGTCGTGTATCCCAATCCGATCAGCGCGATTGCCGGTGTCCACTGGCCGATCGTGTTGCAGATCTTCCGTGACCTCTCCGTCGTCACGTAGTTTTTCCGGATGCAAAGATCAGAGATGTAGCTGATGAGGAAGCTGACGATCCATGCCGTCAAATATGGTAAAGCGGTCATCAAACCATTCTATATATGTGATTGTCGTATAAGAAAAAAAGAAAAATGCAGAATATTAGTTCAAATTTAATTGATACAGCAATTAACTTTAATTCATTAGCATTGATTTTAAAATAATATTATTTAAAGTTGTGTTATTTATGTTAAATTGATATATGTTAATGAAAATTGAAGAGAAAATATTTCATAAAATTTATATACTGAGATATTTATGATAATTATATAAAAGTATAAATAGTTACTGTACAGAATTACTATTAAAAAAATGTAATCACTATCACTAAATTTGATTTGATTGATTTATTAATTTTCTAAATTTGATTTTTTTTGTTTTCTTACAGTCATTGATTTGCTTAGTGACAACGGCATTGGAACTAATATCCACGACGACCGTGATGATCCACTGACCAGAGCCTTGGATTGACCCGAGTTTGGCATATTAATCATTCTTCCATCGTACGCATTGAATTATTAATTAATATTCCAAACACACAGTGCGCGATTTTCGTAATCGAGGCACGCGCGCGACTTGACCGAATTTCAAGGCTTTTTTCCGAAATTTTGCAAAAGCGCAGCAGAGAAAATATACTTAAATTCTATCCAAGATTACAAGAAACTCACTTGTTTGATATCGAAACGCATGATCGAAGCCATATAGGACGGGATTTCTGTTAGCAGCATCCAGAATCCCCAGGATTGCGCGCATTGCGTCGCCAATAATGCCCAAACCGGTAGACACTTGAATATAGATATCCACGGAGTGGAAGGTTTCTAAATAAAGAAAAAAGTTATGGAAAAAATTCATCTCGCAGTCGCAAAATACCTGTAAGCTTGAAAATTTTAATTTAAAAACTTAAAAATTAAGATGTTAAAATTAAGGTCTCGGGTTCGATTCCCGATTCTGCGACTTTCGGATCTATATTTTTCTCTCGCACTTTATTTCTTTAGGGGGAATAGGGGATACATGGAATTAAAAATCTCTTGTAGAGATTATTCCAATTTTATATCTTGGCCGTGTCCAAGTAAAAATTTGGTGCCTTGTGCACAGGTATTTAATTCTAACGAAAAAATTTAGTTTCGTTTAGAATAACGCACTGTCATCCGCGATTTGGCTCTTATTGCCTATCTTATATATGTTAAATTTATATTTATATATTACAGAGCCTAGTTAAACTCTTAATTTATACACGCTGGCTTAAAGGCGTTTATTTACCAACATTAATATATATAACAGAGAAAAGTATAGAATCGAAAGGATCTGAATAGCTCAGTTGGAAGAGCAGTCGCCCGGCAAGCGAAAGGTCTCGGGTTCGATTCCCGATTCTGCGACTTTCGGATCTATATTTTCTCTCGCACTTTATTTCTTTAGGGGGAATAGGGGATACATGGAATTAAAAATCTCTTGTAGAGATTATTCCAATTTTATATCTTGGCCGTGTCCAAGTAAAATTTGGTGCCTTGTGCACAGGTATTTAATTCTAACGAAAAAATTTAGTTTCGTTTAGAATAACGCACTGTCATCCGCGATTTGGCTCTTATTGCCTATCTTATATATGTTAAATTTATATTTAAAAAATTAAAATTTTCCACTTCTTTTTAAATCAAAATCTATAAATCTTAGTATTTTTTATTTATTTATGTTAATTCACTCACACGTATTTGTAACAACGATTTATAATTTATGTATTTAAAACTATCTTCTCTTAATTAAATTATAAGAGCCTTAAGATTTGACTAAATTTAAAATCAATAAATTTAAATTGATCTTCAAAGTGACGAATTAAATTAACGTAAATTCATTTCTTTTGTTAATATAAGATGTTGAAGAATATGTCACCTCATCTATTTCTGTTATTCCCAGACTCATCTCAATATATTCCTTTTCATCCAAAGGTATCCTGGGATGCTCAGAGGGTGAATCCTTTCCTAATATGTAGAAAGCGGTACCGCTTATGATGCTGAAAGTTCCCCAAACGAAAAAACAACTAGGCCAGCCGATGGACGATGCTGCGAGAAAGCCAGTACTTAGCAAACATACTACGTTTCCAATCCAGCCTCCGGAATAAACAAATGTTGCTGGAAAAGTATGAAAAATATATTGCAAGTTTGATCTCTTTCAAAATAAATTTAAAATGATCTTTTTGAATCTTGTATAAAATTCGAGTATACTTCTTTTTATGAAATATGTTTTGAATTGGATTATTTTGGAAAACCTGGGAAATGTCGACAATTTTATTTTAGCGATGAAAAGAACTGAAGAAAGAGAATCAAGAATAATTTGCTCGAATTGCAGAGATATTTTTATTGTGCGATATTAATTTTGAAAAAAAAGATCAAAGACTGTACAATCTCGACGTGCTCAATCAATTCGACATTATTGCCAGGTTGCGATAAACATTTTTTTCTCTATTTATCTGTGTTAAACGTGCCTGCTAATTAAAGCATAATTCATCAACCGAGAATGCTAAGTCAAAATTACTAATTTTAGATGATATAATTGTAATCGAAAAAGCATAAGCATAAAGTAATTCAGAATATGCATACTACAGAATTATTAACATAACAATCGAAATAGAATCTTCGTACGATTCTGAAGTTATTTGCTAGAATATCGGTTTTAATTTTAATACGCGGTAATATCTTACAAAAATCTTCAAAATTTGTTATATTTTATATTAAATAAAAAAATGTGTAGTTGACAAATGCAAATAAAATTTGTCAAGTACGTTAGTATTTCTTCAAAATATTGAAAATTTTTGGCATTTATGTTATTTATTATATACTCACTTGTACATTAAACTAAAATTACATATGTTTGTTATTTATTAGATAAGAAAATCACTGACCAAGTCTGCCACGCTCCTCCGGTGGTGACCACTTGGATAATAGGGTGTGAAGAGAGGGTAGAGCGGCACCCTGAGCGAGGCCACAGATCACCCTGGTAGCGATCATCGCCTGCCAGCCTCCGTAACGAGCAGCGATCGGGCTGCAGAGAGTCAACACACCGGAGATGATAAGAGTCATCGAGAATAGTCCTTGAGCACTCCATCGTTGAGCGAGGATGCTGGCAGGTATTTGCGTACAAGTGTAGCCCCAGAAGAAGGAACTAAGAATCATGTGTTTGACTGGTTCGCTCCAGTCAAACTCCTTCAAAGAGATCCGTACGTTTATTAGAATTCGTGCTGTAAAGGTAATTATAACGTTATTATTATACGCACCTCGAAGTCGGGATTAGCGCTGGCCGCATTGGTCATCGCCTCCAGGGTCACCGAGGTCGTCACCCGGACGGCGTAGCAGCAAAAGAAACCGAAGCACATGAGTATCACCTGCGTGTGTCTGCATCCATACCATGCTGCAAGAATTTACAATATAATTATATGGTACTATATAATAATTATGTACTCTAATTATTGGAACGCGAACGTGCAAAAGATTAGTTTCTTTTTATTAAAAAAAAAAGTATTTACAAATTATTAATTTATTGACAAATTAATATTTTTGAAAAAAATATAACGTTAATAATATTTTTTACACGTAAGACTTGAAAATCATTATATTTTTGATGAAAAAAGTTTTGTAATTCTTGGATTTTGCCTGAATATATTACATTTTTAATATAAGTTTAAATAACGCGTAAAGATTTTTAAATTTTAAAAATTCCTAATTATTGGAAAAATGCATATACAAAAACGTTTATAATTCTCCTAGTTGTAATTTTTTTTTATTTTTATAATGATTGATTCATTGTAATGCCGATGATTGTGTTTATATGGATGTCACGTATAAACGCGGAATCGAATACAAATTATGTCATTGTCATCAAGACCGCGCTGCGTCAGTGAGATCGCACGTTCGGTGTTTGTACTTGGAATCCAGCAACAATTGCCTATTACGTCAGAGAAATCACCAGTATGCGAACGCGATCGATAAAATCTTAGTAATCGCATCTATCCGATGATTCTCTTACTATTTTATTCCACGTTCAATCAAAGAACGCGTAGAATGTGAATTAATACCAATCGATAATTGCATAACATATTGCTTTCATTTGTGAAAAGTGTTTTCTAGATTTGTCTCGAAATACAGATTGGAGAAAGCTGACGAAGGGTAGATTATAAAAGAGGAAAAGAAATAAAAATGATAAACGGAAAATGTATAACATAATGCAAGAAAAAGTAAGATAATTTTTTTGTTAAATTTTGTAACAAATTATAAAAAATGATGCGCGATGATATTATACTACTACCCCGTTAAGTTTGATTAATATTATTTATTATTCCTATATTTTCAAATCAATAATTAAGTTTGCTCTTCTTATCACTCATTTACCTTTTTATACACTTACACAATCGTTAATGATATATTGATAATGCTCTTTATATAATTCGTTTTAAAAATTTGAAGTGCCAATATGATACGAAATATTTATGTCAAAAAATCGCAAAGAAAATAATAAATAAATATTGAAACTTTTTGTATACTTATGAATTTTGTATATTAATGAATGATTTTTCAATAAGAGCACGTGTTTCGATGTTAGTATACATCGCGCATCAACATATAATTCACGATGATTATTCCGCAATCAATATTATCTGCAATTTAACTCGAATAATAAGTGTGAACTTTTTCTCTCTATAATCCTATCTAACGTTATCATTATCGAATGTGTAATCGAAAGTACTCTGTTATTATCCAATAATCTATATTCCAATAATATATTTGTGAAAATTATATATCATATCAACTTCAGATAATATCCATATGAGGAAAAATATATTTTAGTTTTATATGTTATATTTTTTATTTATTATATCATTTATATATATGCTATTTTCACTATATTTTATAAATAATTTTAAAATGTTTTATATATATTTATACATAAAAAAATTATGAATAGATAATTTTTCAATTATTTGATAAATTTTACGATTTATCGTGAGTTATTTATTATACAAAATGTTTCACAATTTCTGACTTAAATTATAATGATAGATTTTAAGTTTTCTAAGAATATGGAGAGAGAAAAGAACCAACGTTTATTGCAATCTTTATTATTGTAATATTTAATATACAAATCTTTATAACTATTCAAATTAAAATTGTACTAAAGTCTATTTGAAATTAATTAGAAATATAAATTTGATATCTGTGCTTCTAAAATTTAGTAAAAAAATTATTTTTTTTTCAAAATTATATTGTATAACTTATTATTTTATAACTAACTCATTAATCTTTACATTTTTGTTAAGGAAAAATCCATCTAAATTTCTAAATTATATATTAATGTAATCAAATTTAATGTTTACTTCTCATATTTTAACAATAACAATTTCTATTTTTTAAATAAAGCAATGTTTTGTATAAAAAATTCTCTAAAAGTATTAGCACATTTTTTATAATCAAAGATTAACAAATCTTTGATAACTCTGAGTGTGTTCCAGTAAAATTTCTTTTTCAACAGATTTATTTGCAAAGTATTTTTTCTTTTTTTATAAAATATAATTTTTATTGTGTACATTAAATATACTATTAATTATAATGTATAAATATACTATTAATATATATATTATGTGTATATAATATAATAAATTACCTTCAGGTTTATTCGGTGAAGTCTTCATTTTCTCTGAGAGGGAGACGATGGAAACTCTCTTTTTTCGCACAGACGACGCCATTGCGATGAATCTTTCGTCAGGAAACAGACACGGGAACAAATTACAGAAACGACTACGATCCATCGATCATACCCACGTAGTTTTATACTGCATCACCGAAAACAGATTCTCCCACTCTTTTGCGCGCTTAAACGCACGCTTGAACAACGCTGTACATCACGTTGTTGCATTATCCTCGAGCATTGGAATCACTACGATATAACAGGATGTAATCAATTTGCATTATTAATTGTACATCTGCTCGATGTTCTCTCCTTTAATCTGTCTTTTCTTTAACTTATATATATTGCACGGAATTAACATTTAATTATGGTACAATTACTATATAATTGGAAAGATCAATTATATACTGATTGTTACAAGTTACAAATTATAAATTATAAATTACAAATTAATTATATCTTTAAAATGATCATAACACATAGAGAATATTATATAAAACAAGGAGAGAAAAAAATTCTAAAGGAAATAAAAGAATAATTTTCTTTTTATTTAGAAGATATAACTTGGTTGCATGTTATATTACTACATATGTGTATATACTATTGTCAGAATTCGAATATGGTTTATCTTGAAATGAATACGTATGTTTAAAGATAATTCAAGATTCATTGAAAGAAAGGTGATTTAAGATTTAATAATATCTACGAGACTCTGTGCTCTAATTACGCTCTTTCTTTTATACGGGAGCTGTGTAACGAGCATCGGAATAGATCGTGCCTCGATAAATAATCACTTTCTTGTCTTTCTCGCCCTACAAAGATAACACGTTTAATGCGAACGTTTGCGATTCGCGAGCATGGTGTATGCATTTTGTTAGATAAAGATTCGTTCAATATCCGAAGCGAATAACTTCATCGAAGAAACTGTATATATTGTCATATATATATATATATATATATATATATATATATATATATATATATATATATCCATATCCATACAACACGTCGTACAACCGGAGATAAAGAAAGAGGGTCAATGTGATTAATGAAATTTAAATAATTAAAACAAATATAAATTATCAGTTATCCTTTATATCTATTATTTTAAAGGCACCTTTTTAATTATATATAATGATATTTTAAAGATATATTTAATTATATCAAAATTTGTACTTTATAACAAATATTTTTACAATTAATGTACATATCTGTTTCGTGATAAATTTTGTTTTACAAATTTTTACAGTACAAAAATTTTATTCGCTTTGAAGAAAAATTTATCTTGTTTAGTATGCATGAAACAAATGTATATACAATGTTCAAAATTACATATCATGTTACACCTATAGCATGTATCTGAAATTGCAATTTAAGTAGAAAATGGAATTTTTTTATATAATAATATGATTAAAAATCTATTCTAATCTCACAGATTAGACTGATTGTCCAATTGAAAAAGGAGATAACAGCACTACAGTGTAACAGAAAATGAAAAGATCATACTTCATAATAAAGGAATAATATGTACAGCAACACTTATACCAGCAATTACGACAAACAGATTTCGTAATCCATCGCAATTTCGAGATCTTAGAAGATTCATTTAAAATTAAGTCAAATTTAATACAGAAAATCAGTTCTGTTAATTCTATGTGTGTATAACTTCAAACTCAAAGTCTGATTTAAACACACAATCCCATAGGTGGTAAGTTTGAAAAATAAAAGTTCAAACAGTCTATATCAATTTACATAAATTTCAAGTTTGTCTCTTGTCTTCTAGATTTCCGTTTCGTTTTTGCCGTCGAGTTTGGATCTCCTCAGAATCGTTCCACCATTGCACTTCGCCCTTGCCGAATATCACGAATATCAGATTACCCACAAAGAAGATCGCCGCCGAGACATAGAACACGATATTCCACTGATATACGTTGGTCTAAAAAAACGGAAGATCTCCCGATAATGATTTTTTTCGTCGATTTCAAAATAACTAAATAATGTGTAGGTACGTATTATTAAAATTTATAAATGTCCACCTTAAAAGAAATATCAAGTTAAATTTGAAAAATACTTGATTTTAATAATTGCTTTATATCTAATTTTATCATTTGATAGATAATTGAAAGATTTTGTCGAAAATACATATCATACTTACTTATTGTTAATTTTAGGACTGAAAGCATTTATGTAAGACGAAACTTGGTATTTGCGTATAATATTCTTGAGTACAAATGAGAAGGAATATTTACCTCATCGGTGACGATCTGACTGCATATCAGCGGCGCGAGAATGGCTGTAACAGTCGCAGCGCAATTGGTGATGGACATCATCGTGCCGGCAAAATTCGGACTGAGATCGATATGATTGATCTGATAACCGCATAGAGATCCAGCGTTCAGACCCACCGCTACGGTAAGGAGAACGACGGCCCAGGTGTGATTGTCAGTAGGTACGACACTCATACACGCCAGGGCGATGGCCGGGCCCCAATGGGCTATTGTATTGCAAATCTTTCTGACTGTGCCTCTGGATGCGCCCTTCTTCAGCGCGAAATCGGACAACCAGCTGACGGGAAAACTGAGAAGCCACATGGCCAAGTATGGCAGCGCGGAAAATACACCGCTCTGTGAAAAAGAAAAGGTACGCGTTAATTAATTAATTATAAGAATTATCCCAGCAAACACCGATATATAATTGTTACATTGCTATAATAAAACGGAATATAACAGGTAATATAACGTGTACGTTACATGTAACATCCATGTTAGTTGTAATTTCCCACTCATAGATATAACATTTTAATAGAACATATATTACATTGTAGTTATATTGTAATTATATACCAAATAGCACATTGATGTATTGATAAGTCAGTGCTATCTTGGAATATAATGGCAATACATGTATAACTACAATGTAATATATGTAATATTAAAAATGTTACATCTATGAGTGGGAAATTACAACTAACATATACGTTACATGTAACATGCTTAAGTATATAACATTTATATACTGTGTTTGCTAGGATATTTCCGTGAGAAATTAAAAAAGAAACTATTCTACATTTATAAATAAATATCAAACGCGATCATTTTCAAGAACAAAATATTATATTTTAGACATCAATTCAGCTGACGTTGCGAGAACGTGAGAAAATTCGCATTGAAATAAAACTTAAAATTGAACGTGAAATAACGAGAATTGCAATAGGAATTTTTGCGTGCTCTACATATCGAAATATGTGATTGTTTTATTGAGTAAATATTTTTTCAAACAAGATCAGCTGAATTAGCGTAAATATGAGAAAACTTACAAGAATACTGTTTTCGACATAAATGCATATTGTTAAATTGATGTTGAAATATGATGTGATAATCACAATAAATAAATTTCAAAAAGGAACAAAATTAAAATAACGTGAAACAATACGCAACAATTTTTAAATTAAGAGAAAAATATCTTTCTTTTTTCTTGTTTTATAAAATTTTATGGCTTACCATTTCAATGTTTTTCATTACACCTGTCATGTAGCTAGGCATTTCCGTCAGTAGAGTCCAATATCCCCAATTTTGACCGCAATGGACTATCAGAAGAGCCCACATGGGTAGCGAAGTGAATATTTCTTTCCATGGTGTACGCAATGTCTAAAAGACATGGAATGCATCACGAATCACAATTAAATGCGTTGTATTATTCTATCTGTATCTTATTAATGAATCATTACACAAATCTAAAAAATTGATTCTAAAAATTATTACAATGCAATAATAAAAAAAGTTTTACATTAAAAAGTAGATGTGTCTTTAGTTGATGATATTAAGAATAATCAGAAAAAAGCAAATAAGATATGTAGCATATCTAAATTAGTTATTGAGATTTATAATATTATGTACATACAATATATAAAGCGTGTATCGATTATTTTTTTTACCTGTTTGGATTCATCTTCATTTTTTGTTTCTGTGGTTCTTAAACTTTCCTCTATATATTCTCTTTCTTTCTGGGAAATGCTACGATGTTCGGCTGGTGAATCTGCCCCGAAGAAGAAGAAAATTATACTCCAGAGGACCGATAATGCACCAAATAAGTAGAAGATGCTAGGCCAACCCACACTCGATGCAGCGAGAAATCCGGAAATGGGCATTGTAATTACTGTACCGAATTGGGCACCCGCATAAGCAAAAGTTCCTGCAATAAAAAAGTAAATAATGAATAAATTTACCATTTGTTATAAGCAAAATAATTAACTATTATAGATTTTCTATCAAATTTTTCGCTTTTTGATTGGTTTTCTAAAATTTCAATAATATGAAGAGAAAGAGATAATAATGTAAAATTAAATACGAATCTTAATAAACTAAATAGAATCATACAAAATATATATACATATATATTGGCTGTAGAGCGATGTTTTTGCGTCTGTTATTACGAAAATTAATATTTTCGCTAATTAGGAATAGTATCCTTGGTTTGGATTTATAATTCCTGTGTTCCCCTTTAACCCCCCTGTAAAGCTATAGGCGAGAAAAATATCGGTCCGAAAGTCGGCTGAATCAGGAAATAGAATCGTGTGTAATATAAATATATATTTCATATAATATATACATATATTTATGACAATATATAAAAACTTATGATTAAATCGAAATTTTCCTAACACGAATTTTGAATCTATTCTCACCTAGTCGTGCTCTTTCAGCAGGTGGCGCCCATTTGGAGAGAAGGGTTTGAGTGCAAGGTAACAGACAAGCTTGCATAAACCCATGCCTATCCTGCAAACCAGAACAGCTGGCAAACCCCACCAGCTGGCCACAAATGGTGTAATGATGTTGAAGATACCACACAGCAACATTCCGATGCTGAGGAGCTTTTGGCCGCTCCAAATGCCGGCAATGTAGCCGCTCGGCACTTGCGTTATCACATAGCCCCAGAAAATGAGCTGAGTACCATGTTCTTCTGTACTTGATCCCAGCCGTAATCCTGATGATGGTAATTAATATGAATTTGTAATAACAATTGCAAACCTCTCGACATGCATAGTGAAAGTTTAGCTAGTGTTAAGTTATTTTAGAGTTTTAAACTGTTGCTTATTCTATATATATATATAAAATAAAATCAAGACGTAAATAATATAATATTGTAACATGAATCAGGTGAAAAGATTATTGTGACGATGATCTGCCTGTGATTATAATCTGATAGGATATTATTCATTGATTTTCATTAGTGATCTTGTAAAGACAATGATAAGAGTTATCTGCACTTGAGATCATTGTGCATTTACGTTCATGAAATCGAACGAGAATGAATCAGCATATCAGTCTTATGCTACATTCTCGGGTGAGACAAAAGAACAAATATTCTTGTAAATCATTAATTGTATGCGGATGAGATTTGTTTAACATATGAGGAAAGTATTTCATCAGACACCGCAGCTCGACCCGATGCACTTTAACTCCCCTGATTCCGCGAACACAAGGAAAATTTCCTTGCCCTGACATAGATTCTAGATTTTTTTCTGATCGTGAATTTATGGGACGCATTCTGCGAATCAGTAAAAACGATCTATCGACTCAAGCAGTTCCGCTCCATCGACTAATTCAACAGTTTTTAATATTCTCAAATGCACAGTATAATACTAATGTATTACCTGTACAATATGTAAAAAATTATACAGCAATGTAGAATTAAATGTGAAAAATTAGATATATCTTAACAATATACAATATTGAATTTTGATATTTGAAAGCTATACTAATTTTTCAGATGCATTTATTAAATAGCACTAATATAGATCATGTAGACAATAAAAAAGGAACAATTTTGGCATGGAATAATGTGAATCAAATATCAAACGCAAGATCGTAATTTAAATGATATTTTGTAAGTGCAAAAGGAATTACGATATTACATGCGCAGATTTTTCCCAAGCAATGAGTTCATCGCGTTGTTGTTATATAATGAGCATGCTTGATACGCTTATCTGACACTTAATTACACGAGAATGTACTCTCGAATAAGTTACATGGTGTTTGAGCATCAAACTATTTAAACCACGCTTAAAATAAAGAATGACTTAATTTACCTCGATATCTGGATTTGCAGTACTCGCGTCTGCCATTGCTACTATGGCCACCGACATTGAGACCCTTTGACTGTATCCGATGGTCATGCCCAGGAACAGTAACAACGTCTGTACGTGTCTAATCCCGAAGATACCTGCGAAGAGATCGTTCTTTTATTTCATGCATCATTCAGTGAAATCGTCTTGAGAATTTTTAATCGCTCATCCATACTTGGTAAAATTATTATTATTATTATTACACTCTCTGTATAGAGAAACACAACAGAATCTTATAATACAAGATGTCCTGTTCTAAGAGAGTGTTATTCTTTTTTATTTCTTAAATTGTAAATAGATAAATATTTATTCATATGGAAAAAGTTTTACGAGCGAGTCTATACTTTGCAACCAATTTTCGAAGCAATTAAGCAATACTATGCTGTTATTTTATCAAAATGCCTAATGGAAAACTACTGACAAATATTTTTTGATAATAGACAAGTCACGTCAATAATGATATTACATTATAATAAAGATTTAATAAATTTTACATATGGTACAAAAACAATTGCCAAAAAAGATAACATAGCTCTCTTGATGAAAAATATTTGAAAATAAAATTTGAACATAAAATACTCTTGCATATTATCAAGATAAAAATGACTGTCATTATTATGTGTATGTGCATGTTAGAAACTATCGCGGAATATAGTTAAATAACTGAGTAAATAACAAGAAAAATGCACAAAACATATAAGCGAATATAAAATTGTTCTTGGAGAAATAAGTAGTAACGCAAAATAAAATGTCAATTGTAATAATAAATGAACATAACAAATTTTAACATAATAACAAGAGATAATGATACGACATAATAATTACTATCAAATCATATAATACCATATAATAATATAATATCATATAATTATCATATCATATCGACATAATAATTATATAAATGATAATGAAGAAAATATTTACCCATATTTTTCTCGAGATAAACAATTCTCAATTTTCAACGTTTCACAGGATTAACTCAAACTTTCTTGTCCAAAGAACACCAAAAATTATGACACAGTCACATTCTAAATCACATTTCATATACGCGGCTATCTGTGCTAATCTCTTCCGATAATATAAATATGACAAAACTCGATTAGTGCAATTGAAAATATCACAAATAAGTCTCGAAGGAGTTTCTCTCTATAAACAAACTATGACAATACATATAGACAATGTATATATATATATATAGACGTAAAAAAGATTTGTCCATGAAGAAGATATATGCTGCTAGTAGGGAAAAGGAGATACTACAGATCCATTTGGTTCGACTCGGTTATCATTCGACTCACAACTAATTTATCTTTGAATATGTATGTGTAACTGTCAAATTATAAACATGCATTTCATATACAGAAAACAAATATAGCTATAAACCGAATGATATCAAGTCAAATCGAATGGACTAAAATATCTGTAATCCCTTACTGTCTCAACTTCCTCTCTAAAGACTCTATTTATATTATTAATAAGGTCGATGGAGAGGTCAGGTTTTTGACATAAATCGTTAACATTTATTTAGAAGAAATATTTTCCGATAATGTAATAGCAATTTACGATGACGCATAATATATTAATCTCTTCTATTGAAGAAATGAGCGTCGAGAGATTCATATAATATCAATATCAATTATCTGATAAAAAAGTTCATATAATTAATTTTTTAATCAAGGAAAAAGAATAGATATTGTAACAAATTTTTTATCTTGCATATTTTGGTATCATCTCTAGATTTCTTTTAAATCACAATTTTGATTAAAATTAAAATTTCCATACGGTAATTTGCCGTAACAAAGTCATTGTAAATCGTAATGATCGTAATCATTACGATACGTAATCATTGTAATTGCATCGGACATGTGCGATTATGCGAGATCTATCAATGGTCTGATGATAAGATAATAAAATAAAAAAGCTGAAGAATGCGAGGATAATGCATAAAAAAACTTATAAGTTTTTCCTAGACATACACAAAAAAAAATACTAAATATATTAAAAATTTACATTCCGTATAGCTATCCAATAATTGCAAAGACAAGGTATATTATCAGTATGAGTATTTATCTTGTAATATCAATTAAATTGTGAGTTACGGATTTGGACCACACAAAATTTTTTGAATGGTTCTTTAGCGAATGTGGAGATTTTAATCAAATTCATAAACATTAAAGGCAATATTTTGAACTTTGTATTATCAAATATAATTAACTGATTTCTAATTATTTTTTAAGTGGAATAAGATTATAAATTGTGAGATTTAATACAATATCTATAGTGATAAAAAATGATGAGTGCATCGTTAAATAAGTTGTTATCAATATCACAATTTATTTTGTATTTGTTAGAAATAAATGCCACGTACATACAAGAAAATGTGAATCGTTGGACTTGATCCGTAGATATTAAATTGTTTATATATTTTTTTTAATAAAAAAAATAATCGATTCATTTACCGCTCGATAATTCAAATGCGATTCGATAAGATACAGAAATCATAATTGTAATGACAAACCGCAATGTGATTTATAATGTGATTAATAGAAATTTACACACACATATAGTGTGACATAAAGAAAAAATGTCATAATGTAATTATTTATTAACGCGAAATAATAGCCATCGCGCGCTTCTGAATCATCGCGAAAGGTAGCTCCATGCAATTCGATCATTCTTTATTGCAGAACAAAGTGAAGTTACAATTTACGCACGCGATAATCCCAGATAAGACGATCAACGATAAGTAGAAGTTATCGAGCTTGGAAAATATTTTCAATATCATTCGATGATTATAAAATTAAAGATCAGATTGTGTGTGTGCGATGCAATCGGATCAATGTTGAAGAACTTCAAAGACTGTACAGAGACAAAAATTTCAGACTCAATTTTTCTTTATTTTATCAAATGCCTTTTCTCGCTAATTTTAAAAACTAATATTTTATATATTTTTATTGTTATTCTTATTTTTGAAATTATTAAAAATACTTTCTTGTTGTTATTGTTATTATCACTGTTTTTTGTTTTTCTCTATCAACATTTTTGATAAAAGAATGCATTATTTATTGCAAAGATATTATATGATCAATAAATAAATTTATTTCAATTGTTTTTTTCCGTAGTCGCGCAATTTGTTTTTCAAAATGTACTTTTATGAAAATATGACTTTTTACGCGTTTAAAAAATAAATATATATTCATTATCACGTTATCTTCAAGGTAGTCGTTGCATATGTATATATCGCATCGTAGGAGAAACGCTTCCGTGCTTCTGCTAATATGCTTCTGTGTTTCGCTAAAACGTGACAGCTGTTACAGAAAAAAAATAATATGAAAAAAAAACAAACTTAAAAATCTTTCTGACAATGTGTAATTTGATTTGCATGTAAAAATATTTTTAAAATTTTCATATAAACACGATAAACCGGTCTAAACTCCAGTTAAATTTTTTAAATTTCCTTCCTTAATGTACTTTTGTAAAATGTTATATTGAAAGAAATACAAAAATAATTTTATGCAATTCTCTTAGTTTAAACTCTTCACCATCACTAACTTGACACCAACAATTATAATTGTCCGAAGATTTATGAACCACTAATCACAATCTCTAACCAATTTGATAACAACTTATTTAACGATGCACTCATCATTTTTTATCACTATAGATATTGTATTAAATCTCACAATTTATAATCTTATTCCACTTAAAACATAATTAAAAATCAGTTAATTATATTTGATAATACAAAGTTAAAAATATTGCCCTTAATGTTTATGAATTTGATTAAAATCTCCATATTCGCTAAAGAACCATTCAAAAAATTTTGTGTGGTCCAAATCCGTAACTCACAATTTAATTTCAAATTTGTACCTAATAATAAATTACGGATTTGCATCACTCTTGCACGAATAATTTTCATTGAAATTTTCTCGGCATTTATGCTTCAATTGAAAAGAGAACATATTTCTTTCGTGTTATGAATTTATAAAAATAAAAGTTTTTTTATGTATGCCATAAAAAAAACTTTCTCTCATAACTAAATATATATATGTGTAGTTTACCCCACTTTTAAAAAATTTATTAATTTATAACAGAAAAAGTGTGTGCGCAGAAGAAATTCAGAAATTCTTAAGAAATCTAATTAAATATTTTGAAATAAATTCTTGAATTATAAATCCTTTTGATTAAATTCTTGCATAAATATCAAATTCGACATGATTTGCATATGATCACACTGGCGGTTTTCTTACAGTTCTGTTGTAGAGTCGGAGACACTGTGGTGGACATTTTCGCCGACGATGCCTTTTCGATGGTGTCGGCAGCATCGTCTTTTTTGATAGCCGTCATTTCGCGCGTCGCGTCGTCTCTTCGTACTCCATTAAAATCTTAATCTCACACGTTGTGATGATATTTATATTGTGCGCCCCTTCCTTCTCCGTCCAGTTTCTTCTCCCTCTCTTCGTCATTGTCGTCATCGTCATCGTCATCATCGTCGTTATCATCATCATCATCGTCATCGTTCAGCAAGGCAGGTGATTTACTCGATTTTTCCTTTCATCAGTGTATGAATCGAGATATTTTCGCTGTCTGAAGCCGCAAATTAAATCTTGCTCGAGAGAAACTATAGAAAGGACAAAACATATCGAAATGGTCAAGGTCATTTTGTGGCGAGACAAATGTGATTAGCCTTGAAAACAGTTTTCCAATTTTTCATAGATTTCATTTGATCAAAGTTCGCTCGCATTCTCGTTTGTGATAGCGTTATCATAGCCACTTTTGGATGAATACTTGAAGAGATAAGAAACCTTTTGCCAGAAATGTTTTTCACGTGTATCCCATCTGTTTCTATCATCCTTAATAATTAAGTATACACAACAATTAATTACTACAATATAATTGATTGATAATTAATAATTACGAATAAGGAAAAATTTATAGGACTCTGTTTACAACACACAGAGAGAGAGAGAGAGAGTAGAATAAAATTAAATATAAAATATATCTCAGTTATAGATTTGTTTTAATTACAGCAACTGATGACATATTATATAAACGTATAAAAATATTTTTGCACTTTGTGTTCATTTATGAGTCCGTTCTCTTCAACTAAACATGTATGTTACATTTTTAAAGTGAAATATATAAAAGAAAAAAGAAACAGACTCTATATCTTATAATTACATACACGTATATAACTTTCTTATACTCTCGCAGAGATCTTCAATTACAAGAGAACTGACAATTTACATATGTAGATGTGTATCTATATCATAACTATATAAACTATATAAGTCTCACTATACATTAAATTTATAAATAAAATTATAATTATGAAATCTTAATATTTAATATAATATTTATCTCAATCTTATTATTAATTTATAAAGTCATGTGTTCTAAAAATATATTTAATATTCTTAAGGGCGTACAAATGCGCGACGCTCAAGTCTGAAACTAGTTTCAATTCTTCTTGTTTAATGATAAAAAGTGTTTAAGAACATTTATATAATAAATATTCTTATTTAGAATTCATATTTGGAAGAAAAATTGAGACTAGTTTGCGACTTGAAAGAAACACAGTTAACTCAAGAGAAGACACCCACGAAGGACAATACGAGAAAGTCACCAAACGTGGAAAAGACTCCAACCACGAGGAACAAAATGTGAAGAAGACATTAAAAAAGAAAGAATCGTCGTTGCGCATTTGTATGCACCAACCTTTGAGAATGGCAATTGTCGAAGTTATTCGCTAAATCATTCAGTCATCATTTCATCAGTTTTCGCTTCTTATTAACTGGTTCCTTGTTAACGCTCACTGGTGTCTCCGTGCTTTTCCTTGCAAGCCTGCTGGAACGCCGAGCTGGCGTTGGTGGTGGTGTCGGACACACTGCCAAGTCCGGAAGACTACGTCGCAAACAATTAACATCCAATAAATTTCAATTGCAAAATCACAAATCGTAATACAAATTAATAATAAAAACGTTTAAAATTTTTCATTGTTATGTAGAATTTTAGTATTAATTAAAGTAAGCATTTATATTTTCTGACTTTAGGCGAATCTGTTAACAAAGCATAATGTATTCTTATTTTTAATTACTATTAATCTTACATAATGTGTGCAGAATGTTTTAATTTATTTTATTTAATATCAATTAAAATCTCTTATCGCCTACTATTTTGATTATAATCTGTATCTTGAAAAAAATCACATTGTAAAATAAAAAGTATAAAATATAGTCAGATAACTTTACATCAAATAAAATGGAATAATAAATATTCTACATAATTTAGACATAACATATATATTCATATTTAATATCTTATTTTATTGTACAAAATTTATTTTTATTCACTAACTGGATTAATTTATTATAATAATAAAAGATATAACGAGTCATATTCTTCATGTCTTCGGTCTTAAAAAAATAATTAATTAATCATGCATGATTTACTAATTCACTAATACTATATGAAAAAAATTATAAAAATAAATTTTGATATATTTATATTATCTATGATCGAATACGTAATCACAAGTAAAAAAACTAATTTATTTTATACAACGCGAGAAAAATACACTATATAATTTTTCGTCATTTAGAATACAATATGACTATGCAATCGCATAAATTTTAAGAATCATTGCCTACCTCAATCGATCGACTTCCGATTCTTTCTTTTTTGATGTCTTCTTTACATTATTATTCCTTGTGGTTGGAGTCTTTTCCACGTTTGGTGACTTTCTCGTATTGTCCTTCGTGGGTGTCTTCTCTTGAGTTAATTGTGTTTCTTTCGCATTGTTATTCATCGTTGGTGCAGTGTTTTCCTTGCGTGAATCGACCTGGACGTTTTGCGTCAAGTGTTTCTCCTGCGACCTCTGAGTCATCTGCGACGCGTAGGTCTTGGAGGTGAGTTGCGTGGGTGGCGAGATGTCGTTGTTATGATAATAACGACCTAGATTGAGAGTTATGCTTTTGGAACAGTTATCCGTCTTATAGATACCCACTAGATAGTCGGCCAATTCGAACATATTCGAGCGTAGTGAGATAACGATGAACTGAGCGTTCTTCGTGCGTTCTTTGATGTAGTTGCCGACTATCGAAACGTTCTTGAAGTCGAGTGCCGCGTCAATCTCGTCCATGAAATACAACGGCGTGGGTTTGTAGTGATGGAGGGCGAAAACCAAGGCCAACGAACTCAGAGTTTTCTCGCCACCGCTGAGATTGCTAATGCTCTTCCACGATTTTTTCGGCGGACGCACGCTGAATGCGATACCCTCGCTGAACGGATCCAACGAGTCCACCAGCTCCAATTCCGCGTCGCCGCCCAACGTAATCATCTGGTACATCTCCTTCAACTTCGTGGTGATCAGACTAAAACCATCCTGGAATTCCTGAATTCTACGTCGCCGAGCGGTTTCGTAGATATCACGCATCTTGTTGCGTATCAACGTCATTTCTTCCAAGTCGGCGGCGCGACGTATGTATAACGCGTCCTTTTCCTGATAGTCCGCAATGATCTGCATATTAGGTATTTGCTCAGGTAGCCTCTTCTTAGCCTTCTGTAGATTCTGTGCTATCATCTTTATGTCCAACTGATCAATCTCTTCCTCTGTCAAGTCTTTAAGCGGCTCCAAAGTCTCGTGGGGAATTGCTCGTAACTTTAGATTCGCTATCTTCTGATTGTATTCGGGGATTGTATGTTGAAGTTCCTTCAACAACTTTTTCGTCTCCTGTAGTTTTTGATCCAGATCGATCTTCACCTCTTTCATTTTATTCTCTCGCGCCTGTAGTTCGCTCAATTCGTTTCTTAAAGACGACATGTCGTCATCCCGCTTCGTTAATGCTTCATTAAACTCTTTCAACTCATCCATAATTACTTTGGCACGTTCCTCGAGCTCAGCTTTTTCTTTTTGAATGTTTCTCAATCTCTCTTCGCAAGCGTGTACATCGTTCTCCAGCGTTTCAATGTGTTTCTCCGCCTTTTTGACGTTCCTCTCAGCTGTCTTGATAGATACCTGCAGACGGCATATCTCCGCCTTGGCCTTGTCTATCGATTTGGTTAGCTGCGTGATTTTTTTCTGCTGATCTCGCACCCGATTGCCAGAAATCTCATCTATATTATTATTAATACGCTCTACCTCTCTTTCCACCGAAGCTGAATTCTCCTTGACTTCGTCCAGGTGCAACTTTGCCGCATTCAGCGTCTTCTGCAGAAGTTTAACCTTTTTTGGATCCGATATCGAATCGGCAGCCTTCTTTTTCTGAGCTTTAAGTTGTGCTTGCAAAGAAGGTTCTTGCTCCCTCAACGTTTGTACCTCGATGCTAAATTTTTGATTGTCAATTTTCATGTCTCGCAAGGCAGTTGTCAACACATGGATCTGCTGCTCCAATGGCTGCTGCTTTGTCCTCAGGTTATTGCACTCTTCGAATATGACATCTAACTGTGATTGCAGTCTCTCGATATCGGCGGTCGACGGTTCGTTTCTCACCACTTTCTGGCCCATTCGACCTCGGAATACTGTGCGTCCGCCACCACTCATCGTGCCAGACAATTCTATCAGCTCGCCCTTCAACGTCACCACGCGATAACGCATTCTGCCATAAGCAATGCGTGTTGCTTGATCCAAGTTTTCGGCCACCAAAGTGTCCTGTAAACCATAGTAGAAGGCCGGTAGCACTTGTTCATCGTCTACTTTTATCAGATCAAATAGTCGATGCACATTTTCCGGCGTTTGGATTTTGCTGCGACACTTAGACAGGAAACGCTGCTGTTTCTCCAATGGTATAAACGTCGCGCGTCCTATATTATGCTGCCGCAGATATGTAATACAATTCTGCGCTGTGGTCAATGTATCCACGACAATGTTGTCTAGCGGACCACACGCTGTTGATACGGCAATGTCATATTTTGCGTCAATGGCACCCAAGTCGCCCTACCATAAAGAAAAAATTTGTATGAAAACACTTTTTCAATCGATCTATTAATAAATGAATATCTAAATTTTAAATGTTAAAAATGTGTCGGAACTTTTCTTTGTCCGAAATAAATAGGAAAGACCTTTGTGTATTCAAAAACATCCTAATATATAATGGAACTATTTGATGCGTAGCTGTCATAAAAAAATGATTGCAATGTAATGCAAAAACATGCAGTCGATACTCATATGTTAATAAAAAAAAAATATTCATTAAGAGAAGAGTTAAGCATAAGTAAAAGATATAATATAAAAGTACTATAATAAATTTTGCCATATATTCATTCATCATCGAATAAATTAAAACAATTTATGTCTAATTATGGAAAATATACAATGAATTATAATATTGTATATCTACATTACACAATCCTAAATTTTGAGACAATTAAATAAGATTTTTACCTACATTTGGGGTAAATTATACAAAAGACCATGTTATCTCGATAATTAATACAACTATGTTTCATTATATCATAGAATCTGATACTTACCAGTCTTCCAAATATTCCAGGTATCCGTCCTTCTCGTTTCTCTTTCATCAACGCATCCAGGACCCGGTTCGACGATCTGCTGGCTTGCATGGCAGAACGCTGCTCTTCGAAAGTCATTCGCATCTTCCTCAACTGAGCGGTCTTCTCGACTTCGCGTGCTTTTATCTCGTTCAACTCGCTTTGAGCCTCTTGCAAGCTGTTTTCAGTTGCCGGAATTTTCCGCTCGAATGCCGCCAGCTGCTTCTGCCGTTCCTGAAGAGTTTTTATAGTCCTCTCTACAGATTCTTGGAGACTTTCCAGCTTTTCTTTCTCAGTCTTTTCCACCAACATATAAAGATCTAGCTCGGATTGCGCAATATCGTATGCCGCTTTCGCTTGATCTACGTTTTTTCTAAGAGATATTAACTGCTTTTCCAACTCGGATCGCTCATTCAGCAACGGCTCCGTCTGTATTCGCAGACCCGCCATCAAAGTCGCTAATGCGGTCTCTTCTTTTTCTTTTTTGACCGTGTTCGTCTCGATCAAATTCTCACATTCTTTGATGTCTTTTGTATTCTTCTCTGGTACTGTTAGCAGTTCTTCCATCTTGCTTTTTTCCTATCATCGTCGTGTCAATTGTCAAATGTATAATTTGATACAATCTTAATTAAATAATATATACACACACATATATATATAGCTTTAGAATATTTATTTGTAATTAAAATGCAATGTAACTTCTAAAGAAAGATAATATAAAAAATTACCGTCTTGGCAGATGCTATGTTAGCTTTCCGTCGTTTATTCGTTTCAACCAGTTCAGCGTGTAACGACTCATCCTGCTTGCGCACTTTATCGAATTTTGCTGTAGCTTCATCCTTCTGTTGCTGTAAAGTGTCCCATTTTTTATTCTTCTCTTTAATAATCTTAGTCTTTTCCTCCTTCTGCTGATGAATTTTCTTCATTTCGTCCATCAGTGCATTTTGTTCCTTATCTAAAGTAGAATGTTTTGCATCATGCTCGATAAGTTCCTTTTCTGTTTCGAATCTGAAAAAATATTCGAAATTTTCCAATATCTCAATTGTCATAACATTTTAAAGATTTTTGATAGTAAAACAGTATAGAACTTTATTTTATTTATCCCACCTTTTACAGTGATAAAGTTGATGCTGTAATTTGATTATTGTGTTTTCCATCTTCAGATACTGCACTGCTTCTTGCATAGGCTCCTCCAGATTTTCCTTTTCCTTTTGCACAACTCTGAGACGATGTAACTTCTCTACTCTGCGCTCAGTTAACATTTCAACCTTGTCTGCTAATTTTGCCAGAGGTTCCTTATAGCGAGCTGTGCCAATAATGTCTTCCAGAAATTCTAGCATTCCAGTATCATTTTCATTTTGTCCTTTAGGCTTCATCATTGCAATTTGTTCTACCTCGCCCTATAAAAAAATTTTTTACATTTTTACTAATATATAGCAATAACTTATAATTAATTTCATGTTATATGTAATTAGTGGAATTTAATGAGCAAAAAATATATATATGGTTTTACTTGTAATATTAAAAACCGATTGTGATCCAAGTCGACTCCATGAGACCTGAGAATCTTGGCAATTTCTTTGAATTGTACTTTCTTCTTATTAAACTCATAATACGATGAATTGTCTTTAAAGGCGGTCCTAGATATGACAAATTCACTGTCTGGAACTTCATAATCTCCTCCAAGCCCCTTAAAAAATAATTTAAATAAAAATAATTTTATAACTTTATCAACAGCATTACTATATTTGTATACTTTAAAAAAATTGTGTCTTACTTTGTCAATAATTTTTTGAAAATGTATAGAAACAGTACAACTATTCAGATTTGAATACTCGTTGGAATTGTGTATTAACACAGAGATCTTCTTCGATCTAATTTTGCTGGCACGATAGCCAAACACAAACAACATAGAATCTATTACATTGCTCTTGCCGCTACCATTAGGACCCACTATTGCTGAGAAGCTCTGTGAAAGAAAACTAGCTTAAACACCACATTAAATAAACAAGTATGCATACGTAACATTGAAATTTACCTTGTGAAAAGGACCGATAGTAGTCCTCCCAGCATAGCTCTTGAAATTCTCATTGACGATCTGAGTTATCATAAGTCTTGGACCAGTTGTATCAACCTCGCTGAAAGTTCTCAGTGGTGGTGGGATGTATATCTCGTCATCGACTCTTAAACCATCCTCCTCGTCGTATTCTGCGTTGTATTCGTCAACTTCCATATTGTCGTTAGAGGTGTTCATCCTGTCCTGCGAGTTGTTGACCATCCTGAAATACGTTTTCAGCCAATAATTCTTACTTTGCAATTCGAGGTTAGCTGGTCAATAATATCGTCCATGAGGATGGTTTTAATCGTCAGGTCGACCTGACTGATCTAAGCATAGAGATATTCTTATTTTCCTTTTCTTAGAGATTAATTAGTACTAGGTAGCTAGAATATTTCACTCATAAAACAGTTGAAATAGATGAAAAACAGGTTAACCACATTCTTGATTTACACTGAAAAATATAGGTAAAATAAAAGATTTTAACTAATAAATGTATACCTAATTTGTGTCGTGCGTTACAATAACTCCAAATAAAGAGAGTAATCGCCGAATAAATGATAAACATTAATCACACTGGATTACTATATTTTTCAATGCCCGCCATTTATGTCAACAGGGGAAGCGTCGCGAATTTAAAATCCTGCTCGAATAACGAATCATCCGAGTTATTAATTTCGAATTGCGCGATCATTTTGGATCAATCTGAAGATTCGATTACGTTCAGAATTTTTATCGCTGTAGAACTGTCACTTTTAGGACTTTCCTGGTCTTTCCGCGACGATGTAAAAAATAATTCACGCAAAATCGAGCTTAGAAAGACGTTGAATGCGAATTGAACGTTCAAAATGGCCGCAAAATAAACGGGTTGTGGACATGTTGTTAAACGGGCTATATTTTTTCGCGCATGCGCATTCGAACTGATTTCGAAGTAGTCTCTCGCATGAAATGGGGTCCTGATTTCTTGTTTAATTTTTCTTAAATTATTGTGATTTTTTAAAATAATTAATGAATCGTTAATTTTTATTATAATATAATAAATTTAATTAAAAATGTTAAATATAAACATACAATACAAATAATGAAATTATAAAATATATCATATACGTGTACTCCGTGTTATAACATACGTCAAATTACGAGTTTAGTTTTTATTTATACAATTTATAATTTGAATTATTGATTAATTTTAATATACATAAATTATAATAATAATTTTTAATTCATAATTGTAATAATTTATTTATTCTTTACGCTTCACTTTTTCTGTTTCCTGCACATTCTGCACAAAACGAACATATGTACACGTCATCCTCGTTTTAATATATGCAAAGCAATCAGAAGCATATAAATGCGCGTTGAATTTAATTCCACAATATGAAAGCATAAGTGAAAATTTTACGTTGAAAGTTAGTGAAATTGATAATTACAGATTTGTTTTGGCGTGTAAATAAAGAAAGGAAATTAGTGTGTTAGGTGCATTCACACTCTCAATTTTTCTATATTCTTAGATGTTTTATTCTAGTTGGAACAAATTATAGCTTCAATATATATTTAAAAAAAATAAAATAAAGCTTCTAAAGTATTAATCTTAACCTTAAAGTATCGTCAAAAATATCGATACATACCTATTTACACAAGGTATGCTTTATCTGGTTTGAATATATATTTTATCACATACATATTTTCATTCGTTTATTTAGAATTATACTTTATCATTTCTAATTATTTGTTAATTCTAATTTATTATTTCTTATATAAATAATAATAATAATATCAGCACGTAAATTTTGTATACAAAAGTGATTTAGGATTAGGAATCAAATAAGTCAAGAAAGTTTAAATTTAAGTTTTTAAAAATTAATTTAATTTATAATTTTTAATATGTGAAAAACACTAATACGTATAGTTTTATAATAACTTGTGTGTTTGTGTGTGAATATTATATATATATATAATTTAAAAGTTTCAAGAATTATTTTGTCTTTTAATTTCAATTATTTTAGATTAACTGAGTTCCAGAAATCTCTTCAAACATAATAATTTTGTTCATCCATATATTCGCAATCAAAGTATATATGTAATTATTAATTTAATAAAATGTAAATTAAAATTAAAGGTCAAATATCTTTTTTGAACATAAAATATTTAATTCGTTATAAAACGTATACCCGTGATAGTATTTTTCTCGTACAAAAATATCTAGAACAAACAAAGTACTTATAAAAAAATAAAAAAATAATTAAATAATTTACTTATCAGATGATAATAATAAAACATTTTATAAAAAAACAGATTCAATAAATATAAGTATTTTTATAACATGTACTTATATTTATTGAATCTGTTTTTTAATAAAATGTTTTATAAGCTTAGAAAACTTGTACTTTGACGTAAGTAGCAAGTTTTATTTGATTATTTGACGACGGTTTGGTAATAAAATGTTTTATTATTATTATATAAAGAAAGTTTAAATTCTTTAATTAATTTTTAATCTTTTATGATTAATTTAATTTTCTAATTATGAATGTACGAGAAAAATACTTAATCTGGGATACTTTTATAACTTAATTTAATATATTTGTGTTTAAAAATTATATTTGACCTTTAATTTTAATAGTATTTTATTAAAATTGTAATTAACATATATCTTAATTGCGAATTATATGGATGAAAAAAATCCCCATTATGTGTGTAAGAGATTTCGGAACTCTTTGTATAAATAATTAAAATTAAAAGTCAAATATAATTTTTGAACACTTTTTATTACTTAAGAATCATATAATTCCTTCCCGAAATATATTAATTCATTATAAAACGTATACAAGCATATTTTTTCTCATATAAAAATGACTAGAATAAATTAAATTAATATTAAAAAACTAAAAAGTATTTAAACGACTTAGACTTAGATGATAATAATAATGAAACATTTTATTAAAAAAAGATTCAATAACTAGTAGGTCAGGTTATAATTTTTTATTTATTTATTTATAACATTATGAGCTATTAAGCTCATCATCTCGTTCGCTCTCTGTCTTGCTTTCATTCGGCAAGTCACAAACGATATATGATACTCGTATGTTCCTACTTCAACTCTCAGTCTGAAACAAACGAAACTCGTGTCCAATATACAGGGTGTCCTTAACTAACAGACCAATGATTACAAATAGATTCTTTGGTCAATTGGGAACGATTTTCCTCAGCGAAAATGTCGAAAAAGGTCATCATTTTTTACAACTTTCCAATCTTTGTCATTATGTATCTTTATAACTAAGCCTTAAATTAAAATTTTATTATAGTAAACTCTACCTGAAATTAACTGAAGAATGTAATTATGTTAGACTTTTAACTCCAAAACGTTTAGTTTTCAAAAAACCTATTTTTTTCAATCGCTTATAACTCGAAAATTATTGACTTCTCAACATTTTTGCTAAGGAAAAATCGTCTCCAAATTGGCCAGAGAATCCGCCCTTAATCATTGGTCCGTTAGTTACCGGACACCTTGTATATATTATATAAAAGTGTATAGCACGTCAGAAGCTTGTGAGCTTACAGCGATAAGTAAAAACAATTGCGTATTATTTCATTGCGTTTATCTGTTTAAACGCGCGCTTTAATTTTCCAACGTTTTTGCCTGTTTATATTTTAAAGGTCCTCTCTTCTAAAAATCTTGTTTTAAAGATCCTCTCCGCGAGCAAAATTCGAAAACATAAATTATTTAATATTTTTACTTTATTATTTGTAAATCCTCGGTAATTTCAAAATTTTTCTATTTGAAAATTATTAATTTTCTATTGCCAATTAATTTTATCACAGACTTTACTCTTACTCCATTGCACTTTCGTTTGCGGTTTTCAGTATACGATTTTTATCGTAGTTACTGAAAATTATTATTGTGAATTATACTTGTGCAGTGATTTGAAGAATTTACAATTTCGTTGAAATTGTTGATTTTCAAAAAAATTACGAGATTCGCGGAAATTGCGTGCTTTCTTGGCATTTTCCGTTCGCGGCAGGCGGTTTATTTTTGATTGTTGCAAGTGTTTTTTTTTTTTTTTATTAAAATAGATAATAATAATGTGAAATAAATCACGATATTTGACAGATGTGCATATATATAGAAATTGTAATAATAATAATATTATATCATAAAATTGTAAATTGTTTCAATTTTTTATAGACTGCGATAAAAGATTTTACATTTGGATAAGAAACTGCGGTAAGTAAAAATATAAAATTCTTGAAAACGTAAAAATATTTGATAACGTAAAAAGGTGAACTTTGAAAAATAAGGAACTTAAAAATTGCACTAATAAATGGGCTATATATATGTGAGCCGTGCGCGGATGTAAGGTGTGTTATATCGAAATTTAATTAATAGAATTGAGAATTAATCCCAATTTTAAGTCTTACAAATGTCCAAGCTAATTTTTTGTACCTCGTGTACATTTTTGAAAGTTATATCGAAAAATTAAATTTCAATATGCGTCTTACATCTCACATTTCGCATACGGCTCACATATAGCCTATTTATCTCTTATACTTTATTTCAACCCTTATAGAAATTTATTACTAGTAACGCCAATTTATCACTTATTTCGAGTAATTAATCACTTTTATTTCGAATACTTAAATTACTGTATATTATAGTATTTTAAATACTCAAAATAAGTGATTAATTGGCGTAGTGATAAATTTCTACAAGAGAATAAGGAGCCTTTAAATTCTTAATGTAAAAAATTTCAAGTAATTTTCTTTAATAAAATTTAATTAAAAAATTTAATTAAAAAATTTTTGAACACTGTGTTATATCACATTTAAAATCGTGATTATTTCAATAAAAAAACATTTTATGTGTAAAAAATATATTTTTTATATTTAATAAATTTTATATATATATATGCATATATGTAAAATATTCTCTCTCTCTCTCTCTCTCTCTCTCTCTCACACACACACACACACACACAACGGGGGCCAAATCTCTCAAATTGGTCTCATGATCAATTAGCCTGGATTCGCACCAGGGGCAAAGTCTGTTGGTAATGTCAAACGAATTTAGCCTGGACTTGCACCAGGGGCAAAGTCTTTTGGTCGAGTCTACGAAATTTAGCACGGACTCGAACCAGGGGCAAAGTCTTTTGGTTCAAGTCTACGAAATTTAGCACGGACTCGAACCAGGGGCAAAGTGTGTCGGTAAGGGGCAAAGTCTATCGCACGAAGATGGCGGTCTCTTCTTTAGGCAGGCCTTTGGCGATCTGTCTATTAATCTGTGACTTCGAACTGATTCGAACCTCTCTCTTTATTGAGCGAGATCTTTTTAGAATCTTACTAGTATGTGATTTTGGAAAAATCGACGATTATATTAATCTTCGTGTTCTTCCTTATATATTTCGCGTCGTTGAAAACGAAGCTTGCCTAACTTGCATTCGCACTACGACTGAAGTGAGCGCAATTGGGTTGTCATAATCGTATTGACTCCGTGGCGCAACGGTAGCGCGTCTGACTCCAGATCAGAAGGTTGCGTGTTCAAATCACGTCGGGGTCAAATACTTTTTGTTTTTATGTACTTACTATCTATGTTATTGTTTTTCTTAATTTGTGAATAAATTGTAAAAAATAATTTTTAATGTCAAATTAACTATAAATTTACTTCTTGAGCTTCCACTTTTTCGTGCACTTTCTGCACATAAAACGAACTATGTACACAAAATGCATCCTCGTTTTAATATATGAAAAAGCAATCAGAAAGCATATAAATGCGCGTTTGAATTTAATCCACAATAGAAAGCATAAGTGGAAATTTTACGTTGAAAATTAGTGAAATTGATAATTACAGATTTGTTTTGGCGTTGTAAATAAAGAAAGGAAATTAGTGTGTTAGGTGCATTCACACTCTCAATTTTTCTATATTCTTAGATGTTTATTCTAGTTGGAACAAATTATAGTTCATATATATTAAAAAAAAATAAAATAAAGCTCTAACTAAAGTGATTAATATACCTTAAAGTATCGTCAAAAATATCGATACATTTACACAAGGTGTGCTTTATCGGGTTTGAATATATATTTATCACATACATATTTTCATTCGTTTATTTAGAATTATACTTTATCATTTCTAATTATTGTTAATTCTAATTTTATTATTCATCATATAATTATAATAACAATAATATCAGCACGTAAATTTGTATACAAAAGTGATTAGGATTAGGAAGTCAAATAGGTTAGAAGAAAGTGTAAAGAACATTTAAAAAAAATTTTAATTATAATTTAAAAAATCAATGAAAAACACCTTGCCATTTATTTAGATCTTTTAAATAACTTGTGTGTGTGTGTGTGTGTATATGTATATACATATATATATATTTAAATAAGATTTTTTGAATTCTTTTAAATTCGTAATTAATTTCAATTTTCAGATTATACTGAGTTCAATGCAGTGAATGCTTCGAA